GGACGGGTAGTGGCTGCATCCTCCCCGCCAGGCAAGAAGGCACAGGCGCTCAAATGTAAAAGACGCACCAGTCACCAAACTAAACACAACACCGCCCAGGACACCAGTCACCTGCTCAGGAAGGCAGCCACACACCGGCGACGCCCCTCTGTAGCGGCAGGAAGGGGCTTCTCCAAAGCCATAGGGAAAGACCATCGTTAAGCTACCCTTTGCCACCCTGCTTATCCTACAGAACAAAATAAAGACGTTTTCCTACCAAGACTCAGAAAGCTTCCCGCTCAAACGTCCTGGGCTGGAAGAGCTCCTGTAGGGTACACTTCCAAAGAAGAGAAACAAATCCATAACAAACAAGCCAGAAGCAACGGGGAGGCAAACAGAGCACTGCTTACGTACCAGCGCTGAGAAATTAGCTTGAACTGATAACCCCAAGGTCAAGAATCATAGGCTCTACAGACTGAGCAGGCCAGGCACCCTAAGAAAACGGATTTTTTTATTGTTGTTGTTCACTGTAAATATATGTATATATATTTTTTCTTAGTGGGGTGGTGAGTGAGAAGGGAATCTTAGGCAGCTCCATGCCCAGCGCAGCCTGACATAGGGCTCGATCTCATGACTCTGGGGTCATGACCTGAGCCAAAATCAAGTCAGAGGCTCAACCGATTAAGCCACCCAGATGCCGACCCCCAGCTTTTTTTTTTTTTTTTTAAGATTTTATTTATTTATTTGACAGAGAGAGACACAGCAAGAGAGGGAACATAAGCAGGGGGAGTGGGAGAGGGAGAAGCAGGCTTCCTGCCAAGCGGGAGCCCGATGTGGGACTCGATCCCAAGACCCTGGGATCATGACCTGAGCTGAAGGCAGATGCTTAATGGCTAAGCGACCCTTTTATAGATACAGATATTTTTTTTTTTAAGAAGGTAAAATAAATCCCTTCAAACATGAAAAGCAGTATGGAGAATCCAAGGGCATTCAGACACAAGCTGAAGCAAGTTAACATTGCTTACTAAAAGATCAGAGATAGAACCAACAAAGGAGGAAGGGGGACAGACTGGGTGCTCGTAGGCAGAATGCCAGGACAGGCCAACTTACAAACTGCCCTTCGTCGATGCCTATGACAGCCACCCCCAGGGCCTCCTGAGCCACGTCACGGAGCAGGCAGGCTGGCAGTGCCTCCATGGTGTTCCTGGGGAGAGAAAGCCAGCAGGTGAGCAAGGCCAGGGAGCGGAAACGTGAATGCTGGGACTGAGGGTCAGCTCCCGGGACCACCCTACCCGCCAAGCAGCTGCACTGTTGGGCTGGGGCTTGAAGTTAGTGCCTGTGGGAAGCCTCTGGGGAGGATAAAGGCCCATGTTCAGAAAACCAGTCATTCAACCCAAGCTGTTTCCTTTGATGCACCAAACTAGAAGTTAACAATGCACATTCCAACGCTTAACGGAGACTCAAGGCTCCACTTCTGTTCAGTGTGGGCTGGGCAGGTGGAATGCTTTAATTTCTTTTAAAAATGGGAAAAAGAACACCTAAATACAACTCAGGCTGCATTCTAGCTGTCTTTCTGTCAATGTGGTCCTAAAATTTAATCTTTTGCTTCTTTCTTTCTATGGACTAAGGAGCCCACTCAAGGCTAAAGTGCTCTGGAAGGTGCAGTGTGGTAATGAGCGGAGGCTGGGCACCAGACTCAGCCCTGTGTGTCCCTGCAGAGATAAGCCCAGAACCCCAGCCAGCACTGCCGAAGAAGAATTCAATCCATTTGGCTCTTCTGGCAGGTCGGAGGACTTTTCCACCATCACAGAGCTATTAACTGGCAGAGCCAAGATTCAAATCCAAGGTCACACTGTTGTCCTGTGTGCCCAGTGGGGAGAACCATATCCAGAAATGTTTGAAAGCCAAAGGCCATGTGTGGGAAGGTTCCAACCCAACCTGTCCCCACACCGAGAGCCATTATTTTTTTCTTTTTAAAGATTTTATTTGTTTATTTGACAGACAGAGATCACAAGGGGGCAGAGCAGCAGGCAGAGAGAAGAAGGGAAGCAGGCTCCCTACTAAGCAGAGAGCCCGATGCAGAATTCGATCCTAGGACCCTGGGATCATGACCTGAGCCAAGGGCAGATGCTTAACCAACTGAGCCAGGCAGGCGCCCCCCTCTTTCAAGATTTTGTTTATTTATTCGAGAGAGGGAGCACATGAGCGGCAGCGGGGGTGGGGGCAGACTCCCTGTTCCCCGGGACCCTGGGACCATGACCTGAGCTGAAGGCCGCTGGCACTCTCTGAAGGCCCCGCAGCCTGTCCGTCCCAGCAGTGGCCCATCCCAGCCTCTGCAGCCCGAGTCAGAGAGCTCCCAGGGGCCCCTGTCTGCCTGACTTCTCCTGGGACACTGCTGCCTCCTCTGCTCCCACCGCCCTTGCGTGGTGCAGCAGCAGAACGGCATGTTTTAGGGCGGAAGCAAACTGGACGGCAGAAATGACCAGCATGGGACAGCACGGCCGGAAGCACGTGGCACCCAAAGCCTCCCACTTAGCTCTGAGTCCCAGGCACTGTCCACCCCACCCCCCACCTGGCTTCACAGACCCCACACTGCCACCCCGAGGCTACACACATGGGGCCATTCTGAGGTTCCCAAGCTGCAAGCTTTGTGGCACAGCATGACTTTGCCACGGGTGGGGGGGTGGGTTTCAGTGGGACAAGCCCTGAGTACAGAGATCACGTCCCAGGCTCAGAAATCTCAGGCCTTGATCCGTAGCCAAGGAACAGGCAAGAGCCAATTTAATTTCCCCTTCCCTCCCCTCCTCACGTGGCAAACAGAAACGTCCTCAGGGCGCAGGCAGATAAACATAAAAGCAGGTGCATGAAGACCACGCGACAACCGAGAGTGAGCCAGGCTATAACGATGACAAAGTCAAATGAAAAACAACATGCAGGTTCAAAGAAACCAGTTTGCCACCGCACAGCCGTCAGCACAGCACTGTTGGCAACTGCGGCAGGATAGATACTGGCCGTGGGGCTGTCCTGCATGTTGTGGGATGTTCGGTTTGGAAGCATCCCGTGACCCTCCCCCACTGCAGTCGTGAAGACTGGAACTGTCTCCAGACATTGCTAAATGGACTTCCGGGGACGGGGGCGCAAAAGCTCCCCTGGTTAAGAACGCTGGACTAGAACTCCGCGCAAGGCCAAGTCCACGACCCCTGGCCAAGCGACTTTGAAAGTTTGCGGAGTTGCCGTGTTTCGATGCCAGGCATCAGCATTACTAACCATTCCTGCTAAAAGAGAGCTCTGATGGTGTGTTCTGGGCCCTTGGGAATTTTCACCAGGCTTCTGGCGGGGGGGGGGCAGTCGTGTGACAGGACAGACGTGGGCAGGGACTCACCGGTCATGCGTGGAGAAGCTGCTGCTGTACCGAGTGTCCTTGGCGTACTTGATCACCAAGCACTTGTACTGGGCGACCTGGAAGCGGCGGACCCTTCGCATCAGCTCCGTACTGCAAGAGCAGGGCCCTCCGTGAGCCCCACGGTGTTGACAGTGGGCGAGGAAGACCCCCTTAGCACATGCGGGGCGTCCCACCACCTTATAGGGGTCTGCAGCCTGAGACCCACCAATGGACAGAGAGAGGACAGAGGGCCGGTGCTCTGGGCGTCCGCAGTCTAGGCCTGAGAGGGATACCGGCGAGAGCAGTCAGGGAGCCCGGGAAAAATGGAAAAATAGAGGCGTGCTGAGGTGGTAAGTGTTCTCCTTGGGGAGGGTGGCAAGGAATGACCCCCAGTTGGCCCAGGGAGGGGATGGAGGGGTGAGGGTCTCAGGGATCTGGTGGAGCGGGCAGAGGCAAAAGCCCCACGTGGAGGAGAGGGGCCAGACTGCCTTCCAAAGCAGTCTCATCCCGGAGGCCTTCACCTCGTCGGAACTGATTTCATAAAATTTTTTTGCGCAAGAAGAAAATCTCTCTCCCAGAGCCTAGAGCTTGCACTGGAGTTACCCCCCCCACCCCCACCCCAGGGCAGAGGGCAATTCTCAGGGGGCTGGCTAGTCCTGCTTAGGTCAGGTGATGGTGCCGTCACATCAGGGGAGCAAAGGTGTCCTGGTCTGACTCCTTAGTGTGTAAACTAAGGAAACAGTCACATCGGCAGGCGGGGGTGGGGGAGGGCGGTTGCCCATACTGCAGGGCGCATAGGACCTGGCCCATGGTAGACGCGATTTTAAAAGAATTTAAAAATTGAATCACAAAAAGCATTGAAAGACTTGGCTGACCCTTTCCGAGAGGGCTTCGGTGCGAGGCTAAACCGTCCGCAGCTGCAGCCAGAGGCAGGAGGGAGCGGTGGTGGAACGACTCTTACGGAAGGGACGCCTTGCCCAGGGCCGGATCCCGGGAACAGCAGCATCCCGGGCGGGCACGCGCCGTCCGGCCGCGGGGGCTGTGCTGGGGCTGCTGTCTGAGAGCGGCGGCGGGCCCCGGAGAGGCGCCAGGGGAGGAGGACGGCCCGGGGGAGGGGAGGGGATGGGGGAGAAGGCGGTCCCCACGAGGCCGCGACTTACTTACCTTTTTCCTGAGAACATGGGTCCTAGAATCACCTAGGAGGGAAGGCGAGGTTCACTTCGGGGCCCGCCATGCACGGACGCCCGGCCACCGCCACCGCCACAACCCCCCCACCCGGACCCCGCTCCAGCTCCCGCGTGCAGGGATCCCGTCCCCGCGCGGCACCTGAATCTGCCCCCGGGTCTTGCTGGGGGAGCCGGGAAGCACGGTGGGCAGGTTGATGCAGCTCATGGCGCCCCGGAAAGCCTGCAGCTCGGGGTCTCTCCGGTGCCACAGCCCAGCAGCCCGGCGCGGGTTCCCGCGCGCTCCGTTTTTATCCCCGGCGCACTGGCCAATCGGGAGCCGGCGCCGGCGCCCCGGAGCCAATCAGCGAGCGGCCGCGGCCGGGCGGGAGATTCGACCGCAGCCCGCCCCTCGTGGGCGGCCCCGGGGCCCCTGCGGGCTCGCGTCACCGGGAGGGCGGGCCCGGGCCCCGCCGCCGCGTATAAATAGCCGGGGTGGCCTTCTGGCCGGCCGCGGTAGGACGATGGAGGTCCCCGGCCGCGGACCCCGAGCCGAGGCTCCCTGGAAGCAGCTCTCTGCAGAGGTAGGCGGGCTGCGGGGCGGGCCGCGTGGTGCGGAGGTTAGATGCGGTGCCAGCAGCGGAGCTCAGGCGGGCGTAGACCCTGCGCTCTCCAGGGCAAGGGGGGCACCTGCGTGCCTGATCCGAAGACTTTAGCGCCCTGACTGGGTGTGCTTCTGGCCACGGGCAGGCTTCGGTGAGCCTGGTTTCAAGGGCAGAGAAAACCGAAGCTGTGCTCGCATCCATAGAGAGGGCCACGGTTCCCGACCTGACCCGAGGGTCCCCCATGCGGATGGAGGACGGAGAGGATGCAGAAAGGCTGCTGTTTCCTGACCGTGATCCTTGGGCTAGAAACCACCCAGGCAAAGCACGCGCTCTGATTGTCACTCAACTGTAGTTTCCTAACTAGTTTCCCGGAATTTCAGGCACTGTTCTGGGTTTTTTCGGGTTTTTGTTGTTGTTGTTGTTGTTGTTGTTGTTGTTGTTCGTTTGTTCGTTCCTTCGTTTGTTTGTTTTCCTGGTCCCTGATACACCTGAGAATTTGATAAATTATGCTTACTACCCCCAAGAAATGCTCTGTCTCTCTGACACACACACACACACACACACACACACCCCTGCACTACCAGGGAACTCTCAAAAACCCACTGCATTATTGTTACCATACATAACAGGTGTGAAGACGATGATTGCACTCAGTGTGTGTGAGGGACGACAAGGTGCCCTACAGACACATATTGTACAATGTAAAGAATGCTGGCCAAGACTCTTGTTCAGCGGGAGGAGGCAGTAACCCACACTTGAAGGGTTAGTTTTACTTCATTTACATGCCTTATGTCCTTCAACCTTGGGCTGAGACCCAGAGAGGGTAAGTGAGTTGTCCAGAGGAAAACAGCCTCTAAATGTTGTTGGAGCTTGGATGACACTCAACCCATCTGACTCCAGAGCTCAAGACCCTTCCATGAAGCCACCCTGTCTGCAAATTCCCCATCTTAGTCTCCACTCTTTCTCCTTGCCTTTGACCTCCTTATCCAAAATCTGGTTCCTCGTTGCTCTCTGCATTACATCTGAACATCTTAGCCTAACATCCGAGACCCTCTCCCCCAGCCCCAGCTTCCCTGCCGCACCTCTGTGTCTCAGCAGTCTGGCCCAACAGCATTTCCAAACTGACCTTTGGTTTCTTTGCTGTGACTCCTGCAATCAGAATCCTGCTCCCTCAGGGGCTCCTGGTCAGGGGCTCCTGGGTGGCTCAGCCAGTTGAGCGTCCGACTCTTGGTTTCAGCTCAGGTCATGATCTCAAGGTTGTGGGTTCAAGCCCCGTGTCCAGCTCCACACTGACAGGGGATCTACTCGAGATTTTCACCCCCTCCCTTTGCCCCTCCCCCTGCTTGTGTGCTCTCTTGCTCTCTCTCTCTCTCTCTCTAAAAATAAGTGAATAAACTCTTTAAAAAAAAGGATCAGGGGCGTCTGGGTGGCTCAGTGGGTTAAATCCTCTGCCTTCAGCTCAGGTCGTGATCTCAGGCTGCTGGGATCGAGTCCCACATCTGGCTTTCTGCTCAGCAGGGAGACTGCTTCCTCCTCTCTCTGCCTACTTGTGATCTGTCTCTGTCAAAGAAATAAATAAAGTCTTAAAAAAAAAAAAAAAAGGAACATGCCTGATCAGAGAAGATCAACTTTCTCTGCAGTGGCCTGCCCCCAGCTCCCTGGCCTCCAGCAGCAGGAGTGGTGCCCACAGTGGCATTAACCAGGACATTTATGGGACCTCATCTCCCCTTTAAGGCTGTCCACTAGTTAAAGCATGACTGTGGCTCTAGGCCACGAGTCTGAGAGCACCCACGACATTGTGTCTGAAGTACCTAATTAATTGATGCTGGGAGGAGAGTGAGGAGTAGGTGACCAGGCTGGAGATGGGAGGGGCTTGAAGGAAATTGAGAGCATCAGCTTGAGATATTGGGGAGGCGGCTTCTCAAGGCGGAGAGAAGCATCTAGACCATTAGGAGGGATGGGGGCACAGTGTGGAGAACAAAGGTCTTATGCAGCCTTCTGTCTGTGTTCTGCAGGAGTTGGAGAATCAGTACTGCCCCAGCAGTTGGGTCATCCGACAGGGAGCGGAAGAAACCCTGAAGATGTACTCACACCTAGGAGACAAGGGTACTGGGGACTGTCTCCATGGCTGCCGTGGGTGGACTTTGGCAGGTGGCAATCGTTCAGATTTCAGGGAGCAGGGGGAGGCTCTCAGGGCAATTCCCAAAGTCCAGGCGCTGGGCAAACCTTGTCTGCTCAGGGCCACTCAGGAGCCCTCACTGCAGGATGGCTGGAACCAGGAAACGCCCCTCCACGCCATGATCCACCTCTACTCCGTGCTCAGCCAGCATACCCAGGCACATCAGGTGACGGACCACAGTGGCACAGAGAGGCGGAGTGAAAAACCAAAAGGTCTCCCCCTTGGCCCAAACATTCGGTGTTGATGGTATTTGTAATCAAAGAAGACTTTGGTTTCTTTCAAGAAGTCAGGGCTTGGGACCCTGTAAGTGAGTGGAGGAATCCCGAGGTGAATCTTGGTTTCCCCAGGCTGAACAGAGCACTTGGATTTGGTGGTTCTGTAAACTGAGATAATCCTTCTGGAAGAACAGGCTCGTGGAGGTTCATTCCAGCACAGACTGGTATCCTCCCTGTCCCAACGGACGTGGAGTGGCGTTGTGTCCTGGCCTCTTCAGAGCCCTCTGCAGGGCCCAGTTCTGTGCCAAACACGTGACTATTTGGTCAATAAACTAGAGTGTGTGGTGAAACCTACATGAGCTTGTAGAAAAGCCATTGTTTTTAAAGATTTTATTCATTTAGGTCACCTGGAGTTCTAGGATCAAGTCCCACATCGGGCTCCCTGATCAGCAGGGAGTCTGCTTCTCCCTCTGCCCTTCCCCTTGCTTGTGCTCTCTCTCTCCCTCTCAAATGAACAAAATCTTTTAAAAAAGAGATTTTATTCACTTATTTGAGAGGGAGAGAGAGCGAGAGAGAGCATGAGCAGGGAGGAGGGGCAGAGGGGGAAGCAGACTCTCCACTGAGCAGGGAGCCTGACCCAGGCCTCGATCCCAGGACCCTGGGATCATGACCCAAGCCAAAAACAGATGCCCAGCTGACTGAACCACCCCGAAAACCTATTTGTCTATCTTAATTGTCTTGAGGGAAGGGAGATCTGTCCCCCTTGAGAAAGCGAGTTCCGCATGAGGGGTAAGAGCTGAGGAGAGCGCGCTGTCTGCTGCCCTCAGAGACTCCCATCCATGATTGCTGTCCACACCGTGGACAGCTTTAAGCTCACATTCCACTCACCTTCCTGTTTTCAGTGTGTAGTTGGCCTGGAGTTGCTGCAGGTGCCACTGACCCATTCCATGGGTGCAGAACATGAGCCCAAGAACAGGGGGGCATGAGGGCCGGGGGAATGAACAACGGCCGTGCCCGTGCAGGGCTGCAGCCTGTCTCTATTTAAAAAGTTGACATTTTGTTGGCCATGGACATTAGCATTACTTGAGATTTAAAATATGTATGTATATTTACTGCCTCTAAATAGTATTTCTCTTTGGGGCACCTGGATGGCTCAGTCGGTTGAGTGTCCAATTCTTTTTTTTTTTTTTTTAATATCATTATTTTTTAAGATTTTATTTATTTATTTGACAGACAGAGATCACAGGTAGGCAGAGAGGCAGGCAGAGAGAGAGGAAGGGAAGCAGGCTCCCTGCTGAGCAGAGAGCCCGATGCGGGGCTCGATCCCAGGACCCTGGTATCACAACCCGAGCCGAAGGCAGAGGCTTTAACCCACTGAGCCACCCAGGCGCCCCGAGTGTCCAATTCTTTATCTCAGCTCAGGTCTTGATCTCAGAGTCCTGGGTTCAGGCCCCATCCTGGGCTCCGTGCTGGGCGTAGAGCCTACTTTTTAAAAAAACCTCTTCTTTAAAGTAAGTATTATTTATCTTTATATTGGTCAGCTTGGTCTGCACTAAAAAAAGGCCATCGAATGGGTGGCTTAAACAGTAGGAATCTATTTCTCACGTTCTGGAGGCTGGGAAGGCCACGATCAAGGTGCTGGCTAGTTTGGTTCCCTGGTGAGAGTCCTCTTCCTGACTTGCCGACAACTGTCTTGTCCATATGTCCTCACTTGGCAGAGAGAGAGAGCAGGAGAGAGGAAGAGCCCTGGTCTTCCGTCCTCTTCGTTTAAGGCTGCTAATCCCACGACAGGGGCCCCACCCTCATGACCTCATCCAAAGCAAATACCTCCCGGAGGTAATTATTCTCTCCAGTACCATCACGTTAGGGAGCAACACTTCAACATAGGGATGTTGGGGGACACAAACCTACAGCCCAAAACAATCTTCATTACTGAGTTCATTACTGAGTTTTTCGTGGCACCCCCTGACTCCAATGTTGTCCCCAAAGCAAGGGCCTCCCTCACCTCACCCTGCTTGACGAGCTCATGCAGCTCGTGAGGGGGCCCCCTGGCCCAGGGGAGAAAGGAGCAGGCTGACCGGCTGGGGCTGGTGAGGCAGCGTCAGGGAGGGAGCCCTGCCTGGTCTCTGCTGCAGGATCCCCCAGACCCCGTCAGTGCTGCCTGTGGCCTTGAGGACTGCCCCACAGTCACACTCACAGGACACGGCAAAGCGACACCAAGCGCTAATAGTGGAAAATTGCTGTCAAGCCAGAACGCCTCTCCACGAAGGACAGAGAGAGAAAAGAAGACATGTTATGATCGAACAAGGGTTAGCTGAACTGTGACGTGCCCCATAGGCGAGCTGCTAGAGACCCCAGAAAGAAACGTCACCCTTTTATACAGGCCAGCAATATGCCCCATCGCAGACCAGATACACCTGCTCTCAAGATAGAGGGTACCTGTGCTCAAGCCAGAGAGCCTGACAGAGCCCCCAGATTCTTCCACAATCCACCCAGTACCTAGGGTGGCCCAGGCTTGCAAATTGCCATTCTCCAGAAGAAAAAGAAAATTCCCCGTCTCTTCAAGGCAAGAGGTAGTCTTGTAACTTGGGAGCCAGACACCTGCTCCTGCCCTCCCATGGAATCTGGGGGTACGGGTGCTGGCTTCTGGTCCTGGACAGAAACATTCCTAGCTTGTATAACTGGCAAGAGAGTTCTTTAGCTTTTAAAAATATTTACATACACCTCAAAGGGGTAGAGAAAGGATTTACAATGAGTTTCCCAAAATAAATACTGGAAGAAAAGGGAGGGAGGAAGCTCTCTTTTCCTTTTCTGCACCAGGGAGACTTCAAAAAAAATTTTTTTCCCCCTTACTTTTGGTTTACATTCACGCTTACAGTCACTGACCTCGTAATTTGCAGTAGGGGAGTGTTCTGCTCTAATGTGTAGTTGACCTTTCTCCGCTTTAAAGACCTGGCCTCGCTAAGGCTGGACGCGCAGGACTGCTGAGCAGAAGGGGGCGAGGAGGGGCCGGTTTTCAGAACTATTTCCTCTGTCAGTAAGTTTAAACTTGTTTTACCGCAACTCTTAGGACTGATACATTGTACACTAAATGAAGGATGGATGCATGCATGGAAGGGTGGATGCATGGGCGGATGAGTAAATAGGCAGGCAGGCAGGCAGGTCTGTGCTGAACCGCAGTTTGGGCTCCCTCCCTCTCAGACCATCCTGCGGCCTCCAGTCCCCCAAGCCACGCCCTTCTCCAAGAGAACCAATCGCCAGTGAGGTGGGTGGAGCCTCGTGATTGACAGCCTCTGGTGGGGTCCGGATCTCAGAGGGCCCTTCCTCCCTTCGCGGGGGCTTTTTCCTCTCCACCAGAAAAGCCAGAGGAAAAATCAAAGGCACAGAAGATACAAGCGCCAGTTTTGTTTGTGCTATACAGTACACGTGACATAAAATGTACCACTAAAACTATTTTATTTTTTTTTAAAGATTTATTTATTTGACAGAGATCACAAGTAGGCAGAGAGGCAGGCGGTGGTGGGGGGTGGGTGGGGAGGGGTGGAGGGGTGGGGGGGTGGGGAGGGGTGGGGGGGGCAGGATCCCTGTTGAGCAGAGAGCCGGATGCAGGGCTGGATCCCAGGATCCCGGGATCATGACCTGAGCCAAAGGCAGAGGCTTAACCCACTGAGCCACCCAAGTGCCCTTAAACACTTTAGATTAGAATCACAAATGCAGGGGTGCCTGGGTGGCTCAATGGGTTAAGGCTCTGCCTTTGGCTCAGGTCATGATCTCAGGGTCCTGGGATCGAGTCCCGCATTGGGCTCTCTGCTCTGCAGGGAGCCTGCTTCCTCCTCTCTCTCTCTGCCTACTTGTGATCTCTCTGTCAAAAAAATAAAATAAAATCTTTAAAAAAATAAAAAAAGAATCACAAATGCAATATATTTGAGTCACTGAAAGTCTCTAATAGATGCATTCCGTTAAGTGTGTCCTATATAGTGGTCGGTGCCCGGTGTGGCACATGGACACACTGGGAGGCTGGCCTGTTCTGGTCATTAGACCTTTTTTAAAAAAATTTATTTATTTGACAGAGAGAGATCACAAGTAGGCAGAGCGGCAGGCAGAGAGAACAGGAGAAGCAGGCTCCCCGCTGAGCAGAGAGCCCGATGGATGCGGGGCTCGATCCCAGAACCCTGAGATCATGACCTGAGCCGAAGGCAGGGGCTTAACCCACTGAGCCACCCAGGCACCCCTGGTCATTAGACCCTTGCAGGAATCACACCTCAGGCCTTCTGAGCAGTTGGTCACTTGAAACATTAGGAGTTGGGAAGTCTCCACCCCCTCATCCACAGGAGAGGGAGCGGGGACCCATAGCGCATAGCACAGCACATCTCTCTCCTAAGAAAAGTTCCCTTCTCTTGTCTCCTCACTCCAAGGATGGCGGGGGGCGGGGTGTGTGGTCAGTAGACATGGTCAGTGATGGCAAACTGGTTTTGCCTGTCCTGCAAAGGCAGCCTGGTCTCTGGTTTTGGCATGGGGAAACTGGGCGTCTACCCTGCCCAAGGCCAAGACCAGAGTCCAGCCAAAATGCCAACCGCCCATTTTAGCAGTTTATGCGCACTTGCCCAGACACACTTTATACAAACTATCTCTACACAGTGAGTTAGCCCCTTCTGGAGATCCAGGGTCATCCAACCCAGAGGAGCATTATTTTCCTTTTGGGCCCAGGACCACGGCCACCAAGGCTGGGGACCTGGGCATCTCTGGGGACGTGGATCCCAAGTTCACATCTCTCCCCACCAATTTCAGTATCAGGAAGATCACCGTAATCTCTGTGCTATTTACACAACCTGTTCTGCTCTTTGCATCATGAAATACTCATCCATTTCCTTTTCGATTAATGTGTTTGGGGTCCTACTTATGTAGTCTTTGATATCCCAAGATCATGAAGATCTCTTATTCTCTTTTTCAAGAGCTCTATTGTCCTCTCTTTCATGTTTAGATAGTCCATCAGGAACTGATCTGGCGTGGTGTGAGGTAGGGATCAAGAAACTTTTTTTTTTTCCATTTGGATATTTGGTTAACCCAGCACTGTTTGTTGAAATATTTATCACCCAATTTTCTTTTTTAAGATTTTTTTCTCTTTATTCATTTGAATCAGAGAGAGACAGAGAGAGCATAGGCAGAGGAGAGGGAGAAGCAGACTCCCCACTGAGCAGCGAGCCCAATGTGGCACTCAATCCTAGGACCCTAGGATCATGATCCGAGCCAAAGGCAGACGGTCAACCATCTGAGTCACCCAGGCGCTCCTATCACACAATTTTCTTTTAATTTTTTTACTACCTATCAAGTCCTGGGTATACAGAGGCGGGCAAAACAAAGCCCTTGTCTTCAGGGTGAAGGCAACAGACAGACAGGAAAAACAGCGAAAAGTATATCAAGAGTGGTGAATGCCAGACTCCATGACAGAGCCAAGAAGGGAGATAGGCCATAATGTCTCCGAGCAGCTTTCTATTATCATAGGTCACTGAGGCTATGTCCAGTATTTTGCTATTATAAATACCATTACTGTGGGCATCTTTAAAACAAGTCTTTGGGAATATATCTGATCATTTCCTTATAAAAACTATGTGGATAGGGACTTAGGAATCAAGGAATACAATCTTCTTGGGCTTCGATACCTAATTCCAAGCCGTCTTTCATAAGATCTTACCAATTTAAACTCTCCAGTGCCCAGTGTTGGAGGGAGCTAAGCTGCCTGCATTTCACTGATTTTGAGGGAGAGCACTTCGGGGAAGGCATGAATATACAGACTCCCCTCCCACCCCCCACCCCTTCGCCTCTGGTATTTATTTCCCTAACAATGCCCCTTCTCCTCTCTTCCGCCCAAGTCATAGCCAACTTCCACATCATTCTCACCTCTCCCCTCCTGGCATCCAATTACATATCCATATTGTTTTATTATCTATTTATTTGAAGTGAGATTCAATATTTTATTTCTTTGAGAGAAAAAGAGAGAGCACTTGAGCGGGGAGGAGCAAAAGGGCAGGGAGAGGGAGAGAGAACCTGAGCGTAGACCCGACGCGGGGCTCGATCCCGCCACTGTGAGGTCGTGACCTGAGGCGAGATCAAAAGTCAGACGCTTTACCAGCTGAGCCCCCCAGGCACCCCTACTTGAAGTGAGATTATATCTTGCTTCCCTAGAAGACTGTTTTTCCGAAGACTCGGACAAGTCGACGCTTCCTGGAGCACGAAGCAAAGTGTAATGCCTGCAAAAACCCCGGAATGAAGCAGTGGCCGGAGGGTGCCCTTCAGAACCATGGCGCCCTTCCAGACAGACCTTGGCAGACCATATCGGTCCCACTTGGACAGGCCAGTCTGCTGTCATTGCAACTGACCACACACCCCCATGTGATGCTTGGGAACCCAGCTCAGATGACCTTAAGGACTTGGGGAAGCATCGTTCGGGCAAACAGTGACAGCTAGAACTGACTGGTGCACCCCAAGGGGCTTTCAGCAGAAAAGATTCTGCTTTAAATGATAGAGAAATTACACAGATTGTGCTGATGGCGACTTGTCCGTTTCTCGACACAGCCACCAAGAAGGCCCGGGCCACCAGGAAGAGCCTGCTGCATGTCCCCTACGGGGATGGCGAAGGGGAGAAACTGGACATCTACTTTCCTGGAGAAGTGGCTGCAGAAGGTTGGCCATCGGGAGGGCTGTCCCTGGGCAGATCTCGGCTGGCCTGGCCACCTGGGCTCAGCCCCCATGCCTTTGTCTGTCTTTACAGCCTTGCCTTTCTGTCTGTTCCTTCACGGAGGGTACTGGCAGAGTGGAAGGTGAGTGGGGTCTGGATGAGCAGAATCTGGAAATTCTTCTTGCCCTGGTGTAGGAGTCCCTTTGGCTGCTGCAACAGATGACCGCAAACTTGGTGGCTTATCACTGTAACACATTCTCTTCTGGTTCCAGAGGCCAGAAGGCTGAGATCGGGGTGCATGCAGCACCCTGCTCCGTTCTGAGGCTCCAGGGAGAAACTGCTCCCGCCTCTTCCAGCTTCTGGGGGGTTCTTGGGTTTCCTTGGCTGTGGTCGCCTCATTTTTTTTTTTTTAAGATTTTATTTATTTATTTGACAGAGATCCCAAGTAGGCAGAGAGGCAGGCAGAGAGAGAGGAAGAAGCAGGCTTTCTGCTGAGCAGAAAGCCCGATGCGGGGCTCGATCCCAGGACTCTGGGATCATGACCTGAGCCGAAGGCAGAAGCTTAACCCACTGAGCCACCCAGGTGCCCCTGTGGTCTCCTCATTTCCGTCTCTGCCTCCATTCTCACCGGGCCTCCTCGGTGTCTGTGTCTCAGATCTCCCCCCACCTTTCTCTCTTATAACGTCACCCATCGTAGGATTGAGGTCCATCCTAAATCATGGATAACCTCACCTCGGGGTCCCTAATGACAGCTCTGTACACTGTGTAGCCGTATTCCCAGGTGCTGGGGTTAGGACGTGGACCTGTCTTTTGAAGGAACATGATTTAACCCACTGTACCCGGGGAGAAGTATGTTCAAGGTACTCGCAGTCAAAGGGAAACTGCAGTGACTAACCCTCCTGGCCTGCGTGGGACTAAGGGGTTTCCCAGGACACGAGGCTTTCGGCGGGAGAGCCCCCGGGGAACCCAGGTCAGCTCATCACCGTAAGATAAGCAGAGGCATGCTTGAGATCTTCAAGGACACTGTTGTTCCCTAGGATCTCACTTAAGGAGTTTCCTGCTATAGGATCTACGACCCTTTAAGCATAGGCATCTTCGCAGCTGAATTTATGGCTTCACCCATTGTCCCACAAAGCTCTCTACGCATCTGATTTTCATTTCTCAAAGACAGCACCTACGAGAAAGTAGATGTCCCCATTTTACAGATGAGGAAGCAGACTTAGAGGTTAAGTAAAGCCCCCAGGGTTTCAGAGCTAACGTGATAAGGTAAGGACAGTGTCTACCTTCTTCCTTATACTACACAGGACCAGAGAGGGCTGGAGCCCTGGGTGGACATGACCAGGAAAGAGCCTGGTTGGTGGCTGAGGTTTCTCCATTATCACATGTTTGTCTCCTTCCTCAGTAAGGACATGTCAGCCTTCATGGTCGACCCACTGACGGCACGGGGAGTGGCCGTGGTAGTCGTGGCTTATGACATTGCCCCCAAAGGTAATGAGGATGGTCCTACGGGTTTGAAGGCTGCTGGGTTTTGGAGGGGAGAGAGCCACCCCTACGGACCCTGACCCCGCTCCTGCTCTGTGTGCAGGAACCCTGGACCAGATGATAGACCAGGTGACTCGGAGCGTCGTGTTTGTGCAGAAGAAATATCCGTGCAATAAGTGGGTGTCCCTGCAGATCTTCCTTTTGTCAGACAATGCGGGAGGATGGTGGGTTCAGTGCCTTGGGTGCAGGCCAGCTGCCTCCTCCGGGCTGTGGAGCAGAAGGCAAACTGGAAGCCTCTGGTACTGGTCCGATGCACTCAGGAAACTGAAGGCAGATTTGGCTTTCTCTGACCCGACCCAGGGGACTTTACCTTTGTGGACACTCAGCAGGGGCCCACCTGGCTGCCATGATGCTCCTGGCCAACTGGACCAAGCACGGAGTCACACCCAACCTCAAAGGTTTTCACGGGACTGCAGGTCTGGCTGGGCAGCCTTCGCCCTCCTCAGGTGGTCGACACCGGCTGCCCAAAATCCCAGCAGCCACAGAGGGCTTGACCTGGGGGCTCTGAGCCCTGTGAGACAGGCCAGCTTTGCTTCTCTCCCCCTACCGTGGTCTTGCCCCTTTGGTCCTGGAGGCTGGGCTGGCCCCATAGTGCTCCCCCCACCCTCCGGGTCTGCTTGAGGCCTGGCTTCGTGGAGCCTCGGCCCCACCTGCAGCCTGACCCTCTGACTCTTCTTCCCCTTCACAGGTTTTTTCCTGGTAAGCGGGATCTATGACCTGGAGCCCATCGTGCACACCACTCAGAACGCCCCTCTCCTCCTGACCCCGTGAGTCATTTGCCCTCTCCTCCCTGAGCTGAGGGGGACCCTCCCAGGAGGGCCAGGGGTGAACTGCAGCCTCCTTTCTGTCCTGACCCATGCCTACCCCTGCATCAGGGAGGACGCTCGGAGGAACAGCCCCCAGCTGCTCCTGGAGGCAGCCTTGACTCGGCCCTCGGGTCCAGCCTGCCACATGCTGGTGACTGTGGGCCAACACGACTCCGCTGAATTCCACCGACAGTCTAGGGAGTTTTTTCAGGTACCCCCAGCTCCCCGCTTCTGGCCAGAGGTTGAGGGTCCTGTCCTCCTATTACCTTCCTCTTTGCTTCACCCCAAGGGACCCCAAGACCATGAGCCATTTATCCAACAAATAGTTAGCAAGCACCTGGCACATGTCAGGCACGGGTGACGCTCCCCCACCCTCCCCAGCCTGCCGCCTCTTACTTGACTCTTTTCTTCACCCAGACGCTGCGCCGGGGAGGGTGGGATGCCTCGTTTGAAGAAATCCATGACGTGGATCACTTTGAAATCATTTGGAGCCTAACCCAGCAGGACTCTGCGCTCACCCAGGTGGGTCACAGCCTTTCACCTAGAGAGTGTGGGTCCCACAGGAGAGGTGGGGAGGGGTGGGGGGCGGCGCACAGGGGATCTTTGGCCTCCAGGGGGCTGGGGTCCTGATGGTAGGAACTGAGAACCCCACTGGCTTCCTCTACTTCGCCTCATTCTGAAAGAGCCCCAGGGGATCTGCAGAGTCTGCTCCTGGGCACGCGGGTGGGAGCTGCCTGGAGCTTGGTGTGGATGGGGCGGGGCATCGATCTGGTACAAGGAAAGTATTCGCCTGTGTGTAAGCAAACAGCAAAGCCAGCTCCAGGTAGGAGAGGATGGATGGGTCTGGTTCATAAACGTTCATTACAATTGTAACATGGAGAATCCTGTTTATTTATTTATTTATTTATTTATTTATTTATTTTTAAAAGATTTTATTTGTTTATTTGACAGACAGAGATCACAAGTAGACAGAGAGGCAGGCAGAGAGGGGGGGGGGGAAGCGGGCTCCCTGCTGAGCAGAGAGCCGGATGCGGGACTCGATCCCAGGACCCTGAGATCATGACCTGAGCCGAAGGCAGAAGCTTAACCCACTGAGCCACCCAGGCGCCCCTATTTATTTATTTTTATTTGATTTAAAGATTTGATTTATTTATTTGACAGAGGGAAAGAGACAGCGATAGAGGGAACACAAGCAGGGGGAGTGGGCGAGGGAGAAGCAGGCTTCCTGCCAGGCAGGGAGCCCGATGTGGGGCTCGATTCCAGGGGTTCGATTCCAGGATCAAGCCAAAGGCAGATGCTTAACCGACTGAGCCCCCCAGGTGCACTTCAATAAGGGTTTTTATAGCATTCCGTTTTAACTCACATAAATATTCTTACTATATAAAGAGCACTTTCAAATCAATAAGAACAGTTTTTATTTCTATTTAAGAATAGATTATAAATAGAAAACAATGGATAAAGAATAAGAGATGATTTTTTAAAAGATTTTATTTATTTGTCAGAGAGAGAGAGGGAGAGAGCGCAAGCAGGGGGAGAAGCAGGGAGCTGAGCAGGGAGCCCGATGCGGGACTCAATCCCAGGATTCTGGGATCATGACCGGAGCCGAAGGCAGACACTTAACCAACTGAGCCACCCAGGCACCCAAGAACAAGGGATAATTTAAGAAAAAATGTACATGGCTAATAAACATGGGGGAAAATTAAATTATACTAGTGATCATAGAAATGTCACTTAAAAGCCCAGTCCTTGGAGCACCTGGGTGGCTCAGTGGTTAAAGCTTCTGCCTTGGGCTCAGGTCATGATCTCAGGGTCCTGGGAACAAGTCCTGGATCAGGCTCTCTGCTCAGCAGGGAGCCTGCTTCTCCCTCTCTCTGCCTGCCTCTCTGCCTACTTGTGATCTCTCTCTGTGTCAAATAAATAAACAAAATCTAAAAAAAAAAAAAGAAAAAGAAAAAGCCCAGTCCTTTCCCACCTGTCATGGAAAATGTTCTAATGATAATTATGCCCAGCCCTGCTGGAGAGGTTGGGAAGGGGCTCCTCTCCAGTTCTGCCCTTGGGAGCACAGTCTGGTGTCAGGAATCCAAACCCACAGGCCCAGGAATTCTGTTGCTTGGAATTTCTCTTCAGGATAATCAAGAAATACAAAATACAAAATAAAGGATATTCAAAACTTAGAAACAGCCCACACGTCCCAGTGAGTTTAAATTATGACATAATTCGGTAACAGAAGGAAGTTTGCGAAAATACGTTAGGATACATCAAATTATTTCAGATGTGAGAGCCAAAGCACAAGAAAGGAGCGAGCCAACATATTCCCAGTTTCATAATACGTAGGCAGCTAGACCCTGGGAGGCACAGGCATGCTTGTGAAAAAAAAACAAGTACCAGGGGTGTGACAGGTGCATTTAAAAAATTCATTTCTGCATTTGCTAACACGAACATGCATTACTTTTTTTTCTTTTAATGGGGGAAGAACAAACACTCATAAATGACATCTCTTGAAAAACCTAAGAAATACATATTTCAGGTTTGGGAGTCTCTGACACAACTACCCAACACTGCCACTGTAGTACATATAGAAGCTGCCACGACCATTCATAAACGCTGAACAGTGTGGCTGCATGCCAATAAAACTTTATTCGTACGGACGTCTGACTCTTACATAATTTTTACATGTCAGGAAATAATATTATGTTTCAATCTTTTTTCAACCACTTAAAAATGTAAAGCCAGGGACCCTAGCTGGCTGAGTCCGTGGAATGGGTGGCTCTTGATCTCAGGGTCGTGCGTTCCAGCTCCACATTGAGTGTAGAGATTACTTAGAATTTGTCCCTGGAGACTTTTAATTAATCTATTTTAATTAATTAACTAAAAACCTGATTAGTTCGTTTCATAAAAACGTAAAGCCATTCTTAGCTCGTGGGTCCAGAAAGCACATCTCGAGCAAGGTAAGTCTACGAATGGCTGGGAGGTTATTTAGGACACTTCAAAGGACAGATGGGACGGAGCTGTCATTGTAAGTTACTGTTCTATGCTCAGGAATGCAGTCTGTTTCTTTCATGGGATTCTGGAGAAAGAGCCTCACAAGAGCCTCTCTGAACCTGGGGGTCTTGGGTCTTTTCTTCCTGCTGCAGATGATTTTGAGAACAATCTTTCGGGAGCGCTAACCCCGCTGGAGTGTGGCCCCTGCCACCGATGATGAAGGTCCTCCACAGACCCCACACGCTTCCCCTTCCTGCCAGCATCCCCCTCCCCATGCCCAGGAGCACCTCCGTTTGCTCCCAACACCACTGCAAATCTCCCTCCCTCCCGCTGGCCTGGATGGAGGGGTTCCAGGGAAGGTCCAGCCCAGTCAACACTACGATCCCCAAGCCAGCCGTGCCCCTGCCTGCCAAGACGGCGTGACAAAAATGACAATGCCCGGCAATCAGTAGGCTTAGCTCAAGCTGAAAGTCTGCTGACCTTTTTGTAAGAGCTCAAACCAGTCTGTTCTGTCTTTTATGGCATTCTTTTGACCCATCTGTCCTGTCTTGAGGCTTTCCCTAAGCTCTGGGACATAGCCCAGGGGCTGGCCCCTTCCGTGAGGGGACAAGGACATCCACAGCCAGGTCAAGATTCCTCTTCGCCCCACCCAGGGGTGTGTGCAGTTCCCAAGCAGCCAGCTGTGTCCCCCCACCACCCTCCCCTCCCCAGCAACCCTCCCCCACCCTAAAGAGCTAGGACCCCCTGTGTGATGGGGTGTCACAAAAACGGAGACTAGCCTAGATAGTCATCAGTCAGGGATAAGTACATCCAAGCCCCCAGCGGCCCAACACGATGTAGCCATAAGAAAGAGACATGTTTACCGGGTAGGAAATCCCCCCAAAATATTGTTACATGACAAAACCAAGATGCTTGCTTAATTACAACTTAGTACCACCTCGATGACTTTAAACAATACACCCCCACAAAAAGACGTTTTTCTCTGTGTGCTCACGTGTGTAACGCAGAGGACAGACCCCGGGGGACCCACACCTAAACCCTCTGCTCCCCTCCAGGGAGGGAGGTGTTTTCACTATATTTGTATTCTCTGACGCTGGGGCTGAGAAGGTAATGAATATTTAAACGTAGTATGTAATCGGAGTGCTGAAATACTCAAAAGCTTTCAGGGCGCAGGCAAGCGAGAACGACATTATAGACGGTAACTTGAATCTATCCCAGACCTGCAAAGGACACGTCTCACAGACTGTAGGACTTCCGTCTGACATCTGCAACCAGTTCTGAGACTGAGACCCCTCGTAGCTGCTGCAGGGGAGCCCCCCAATGGCACACCTAGGTTGGGAATTGCCCCCTTAGGTTACACCCTGATGAGTTAAAATGTCTTAAAATAAGCAAAAGACAGAACAGAAAGGAGTTCACCCCCTTGTGATCCTAATTTCATTAAAAAAAAAAAAAGTTTCTATAAATGGGGCGCCTGGGTGGCTCAGTGGGTTAAGCATCTGCCTTCAGCTCAGGTCATGATCCTGGGGGCCTGGCATCGAGCCCCAACTTGGGCTCTCTGCTCAGCGGGGATCCTGCTTCTCCCTCTCCCTCTGCCTGCCACTCCCCCGCTTGTGATTTCTGTCAAATAAATAAATACAATCTTTAAAAATAAATAAATAAACATTGTAATTTAATATACAACTTACATTAAATATGCTGTGGACTGGACGACTATTTTTACAGCTTTCTAAAAATGACTTCATGATTTCTTTTTTTGTGTGACTGTACTAAACATATGGCACTCTGTCTCAGGCATACACTGTAATTGCTCAGGGATCCTCTCGAGAGGTGTGCTCTTAATCCCCTTTATCTATTTCGCCCATCCCCCCCCCCCCCCCCCGCCCCCGCACCTACCTTCTAGCAACCACCGGTTTGTGCTTTGTATGTAAGAGTATGGCTTTTTCATTTGTCTCTTTCCCCCCTCGTTTGCTTTGTTTCTTCAACTCCCCATGTGAGTGGAATCTTATGCTTCTGTCGTTCTCTGTTGGACTTATTTTACTTAGCCTGATACCCTCTCGGTCCATCCACGTTGTCACAATAGCAAGATCTTCTCCCTTCTGTGATTGGGTGGTATTTCGCTGTATGCGTGTACCACACCTTCTCTACCCATTCATCAGTCCGTGGGCACTTGGGCTGCTTCCGTATCTTGCTGTTACAAACCACGCCCAGTAAACCTCAGGGTGTATGCATCTTTTCAAATGAGAGTTTCATTTTCTCTGGATAAATATGCAGCGGTGGAATTGCCAGATCATACGTGTTTCTATTTTAATTTTTTGAGGACGCAACATACTGTTTCCCACAGTGGCTGCGCCTGTCTGCCTTCCTACAGGCAGCGCCCGACGGCTCCTGTTTCTCCACACCCTCCCCAATACTGCTTACATTTTGTGCTTTTTTATTGTAGCCATTCTGACAGGTGTGAGGCGAGATCTCGTTGTGGCTTTGATTTGCATTTCCCTGGCAATGAGATGTTGAGCACTTTTTCATGTGTCTGTTGGCCATCTGTGTGTCTTCTTTGGAAAAATGTCTATTCAGGCCCACTGCCCAGTTTTTCATTGAACTCTTGGGGGGGGGGGGGTTGGTGTTGAGTTGTATAAGCTCATTATAAAGATAACTGTATTAATGTTAAATTCCCTGATTTTGACGATTCTGCTGTGGTTATATGAAAGATGAAGTAGGTAGGGGTAAAGAGGCAAAATACCTTCACCTTACTCTTAAATTGCTCAGATAAAAAAATATACATATATACACATACTATATATATATTCTATTTTCTCTCTCTATATGTACATGCATCACGTAAACAGAAAATCTGGATAGAGTACATATCAGTATTCCTTGTACTGTTCTTGTAAGCTTTCTATAATTTATTTTTTTTTAAAGATTTTATTTATTTATTTGACAGACAGAGATCACAAGTAGGCAGAGAGGCAGGCAGAGAGAGAGAGGGAAGCAGGCTCCCCGCTGAGCAGAGAGCCTGATGCGGGCTCGATGTGGGGCTCGATCCTAGGATCCTGGGATCATGACCTGAGGCAAAGGCAGAGGCTTTAACCCACTGAGCCCCCCAGGTGCCCCAGCTTTCTATAATTCAAAATGATACAGTAAAGGGGCACCTGGCTGGCTTAGTCAGCAGAACATGCAACTATTGATCTAAATTCAAGCCCCTCCTTGGGTGTAGCGATTACTTAAAAATAAAATCTTTAGTAGTAATCATAATAATAATAAAATGATACAATAAAAAGTTTCCAGGGGCACCTGGCTGGCTCAGTCAGTAGAATGTGGTAGGGCATGGGATTTTTTTTTTTTTTTTAATTTTAAGATTATTTATTTATTTATTTGACAGAGATTGACACAGCAGGAGAGGGAACACAAGCAGGGGGAGTGGGAGAGGGAGAAGCGAGCTTCCCTGAGAGCAGGGAGCCCGATGTGGGGCTCGATCCCAGGACCCTGGGATCATGACCTGAGCCGAAGTCAGACGCCCAACAAGTGAGCCACCCAGGCACCCCTAAGCATGGGATTCTTAATCTCAAGTTTGTGAGTTCAAGCCTCATGATGGCTGTGGATCCTACTTAACTAAAAAAGAAGTTGTTTCCAAAATGTTGTGACATTAAAAGAATGGAAGCCAGCAGCCTGCGTGGGGCTGGAGCGTTGAGAAGTCCTCTTATTTCTGGCCCGCGGATGTAAGAGGTGCCACTCAGCCACCCCTGCAGCTCGGGAAGTGACCTCAGAGCTCCCTGTTCCTGACACAGATGGAGAACACACAATTTTCCCCGTAGGCTGCGGGATTTGCCGTTGCTGGGACACCACTTTGAGGAGGGAAGGGGGGCGTTTGCCCTGAGGTCAGCCTCACCCATCCTCTCTGTCCTGCCCTTTCTCTCCCACAATTGTCATTGCCACCTTCCCCCATGCGCCCCCCCCAGGTCTGTGAGGTCAGTGATGCCCTCAGGGACTTAGAATTCTGTCTTTCTCTGTCTCTTAGTCCTTCAAGCTCTCCTGAAGCTTTTGTATGGCCTTGAAGCCCTTTAGAATTCTCCTTTCTGACTCTGTGGAGCAGGTGGGGGGCGACTTCTGCCGTCTTCGGCTGCCGAGCACCCTGGAGTTGCCGCAGACTCTCTTCCTGGCATTGGTTTCACTCCCTGCCCTTTCTGGACCTCCACCAGCGACTCTGGGTCTCCATTTATTCATCTGTTAAAAAAATCCAGCTGGAGCGGGAACAGGCAGACAGACCCACGTGCACAACTGAGACTGAGATGGACCCCAGAGATGGGTCCCAGCACACAGGGGGGTTTACTAAGTGATAAAAGTGGTGTTTCAGGGGCACCTTGTGGCTCAGTGGATTAAGCCTCTGACTTCAGCTCAGGTCATGGGTCCTGGGATGGAGCCCCGCATCAGGCTCCCTGCTCCACGGGGAGCTTGCTTCCCCCCCTCTCTCTGCCTGCCTCTCTGCCTACTTGTGATCTCTGTCTCTCTGCCAAATAAATAAATAAAATATTAGAAAGAAAGAAGAAAAAATACACCACAAAGTCCAAAAACAACAAACTGGGTCAAGGTCAAGGAGGACAAGAGGAATGAGGTTAAGTGCCTTTTGTATAAAAACTCACCAGACAATAGGAAAAAACGTCAGTAACGGAACAGCTAAGTGGGTAAAGACAGGAATGGGCCATTCACAAGCAAGACTTGATCCGTCTTTTAATCTGAGAGATACAAGTTAAAACAAGCACATACCTTTCTGCATTCTTGCAAGTGTAAAGATCAAAAAGTCTGCTGCGGCTCAGGGGGGTGAGAAGACAAGAAGTCTGGGGGGGTGGGGTTACCTCAGGTTAACCAGGTAGACCTTGACCCGGAGAATTTAGCAGGCACAGACCCAATGCAGGCTGCCTCCCTCCCTCCCACCTCTGGGTGGGTCTCTTTCCCTGTGTCCTCCCCGCTGTTTCACGAGATTGCTCAGTTTTCTCGTCCGTTCTGCTGGGAAGTCAACGGCGCGCGAAGCGGCTCACCCAGCCCTCGAGGACCGCAGCCGGTCGAAATGCACAAAACTAACAAGGGCCAGCACGGACACAGGCCTCAGGGGGTTTCTGGCTACTACCTACAGATGTTAAAAATGGGACCCCAGCCAGCAGGAACTTGGCACAAATAATGCAGAAAGATCAAAATGGCAGAAGCTGTTATCGGTAAAATTTGATACAGCCGAAAGCTGATCTATGAATTAAATACCTGTTACAAAATCTTATGGAAAAGGCGAGTGTTTAATGAGCACAGGCTTAACATAAGTGTGCTCGACAGCGGCCACTCCTTGAACCCACCCCGGGGACGTCAGAGCAGCCTCAACGCCTCTTCCCACCAGTCTTCGTAAGCCGTCGGGGAAACGCTAAGTGTGGGAAGGGGCCAGCGCCCGGCGGGGCAGGGGGGGGCGCGCTCGGTGCGCCACGAGTAGCGGAGCCGCGCGGCCGGAGGACTACAACTCCCAGCACACCCCGCGCCGCCCAGACTTGCCTTCCCAGAGAGCCGCGGGCGGAGCGCGGTGGGGCAGCGTGTTCCCGACCTGCCCCGCGCCGGCCGCCAACCGCCGGATTTGAATCAAGTCGGCGCCCGGCGGCTGCGGCGGCGGGATGGGCGCTTCGTCGTTGCCCCCCGCCTGGCAGCTCTACCTCAAGGACCACCGCGTCTCTACGTTCAAGAACTGGCCGTTCCTGGAGGGCTGCGCCTGCACCCCGGAGCGGGTGAGACCGCGTGGCCTCCCTGGGCCCCAGGCCCGCCCCTCCCCAGAGCCCTGACGCGGCCCCGGGGTGACCGGGCGCAGCTGTGGGCTCCCGGCCCCGTGAAGCCCCTCCCCCTGTGGGCTCCCGAATCCTGAGCGACCCCTCCCTCTGTGGGCTCCCGGGCGCCCCTCTCCCTGTGGGCTTCCAGACCCCGGGGCGACCCCTCCAGCTGTGGGCTCCTGGGCCCGGGGCGACCCCTCCCTCCGCGGGCTCCCGGCCAGGGCGACCCCGCCCGCTGCGGGCTCCTGGATCCTAGAGCTCCTAGCGGGGCCTGAGCCTGCGCTCTCCCCTGCAGATGGCCGAGGCCGGCTTCATCCACTGCCCCACTGAGAACGAGCCCGACTTGGCCCAGTGCTTCTTCTGCTTCAAGGAGCTGGAAGGCTGGGAGCCGGATGATGACCCTATGTAAGTCCCCCAGGCCAGCCTCGCTGGGCTTCCAGGGCGCCCCGCTGCGAGCTGGGCCTGAGAAAACCATGCGGGTGTCCGAGGCACTCGGTGGGGGAGCCGGCCGGGGCTTTTGCAGCTCGCGTTGTGCCCCGGGCACGGCCAACGGCCGAATTTCTGCGCCGCTGCCCAACCGCACTTAGGCCTTTTCCGACCGACTTGGCCCGACGGCCTCCAGAGCGGAGGCTGAAGGAGGGCGCGCTCTTGGAGGACTGTCCTTGGCGCCTGTCGGGTCTGGCCCGTGCGGGAGCGGAGCCTGCGGGGACGCGCGGGGGTCGGGTGCTTTCCTAGCTGGAGTCTTCAGAGCTGAGGTGTCACGGAGCTGCCACTCACGCGCCAGCGAAGACAGCCCCAAGGGGTGCTCTGGCCGCGTTTGGGGTTTTGTTCTTCAAGGCATCTAGGCTGTTTCTTTCGATTCCGTGTGTGCGTTGGCGCGGACCCTGATGGCTGTCCCTCTGTGTGTGACGCCACCCTCTCCCATTTTGGCCCCCGCTCACACCCCGTTGCGGCCACAGTTAGTATTTCCTATAGCGAATCGCCCACGCCCTCTCTTGGCCAGAAGAGAGTTGCCGGTTTCCCTAACGTGCTTGCTCTCGTGACCCATTCTTTTTTTTTTTTTTAATTTTACGTATTCCCTTGACAGAGAGAGCAGAAGCAGGGGCGGCGGCAGGCAGAGGGAGAGGCAGGGAGCCCCACGCGGGGCCGGTCCCAGCCTGCTCAGCCGACTAAGCCACCAGGTGCCTCGTGACCCGTTCTTGACTGGGCTGGCACGGTGCGCATAGCGGGATCGCCGAGGGAGTACCCGTGGTGCTCCTGGGAGTGAATTTCTCAGTGCCGGAGAACGTTCAGACGGTCCTTCCCATCGGCTGTCCTCTGGGGCTTGGTGCGGCTGTGTGTTTGTCCCGCCGCTGTTCCGCCCGCACTGCTGTCCTCTGTGCAGGGGTAATTCGCAGGGCAGACGGCGAGGCTGGGGAGTTCCCCGGAGAAGCCTGGCCAGCGAGCAGATCCCGCAACAATTCCAGGGAAATGGGGAGATTACTTCACACAGTTCCTTCCTTGAGGGTTTTAGAGGGATTTGAGGTGCGCTGCCCCTGCCCTTATGGACCACTTTTCCTGCTAGTTGCTGCAGGACTCCAGAAAAATCCCCTCAGCCCTAAGCGCAGTGGGAGATGTCCGGAGAGAGGGCGGCCGGGGGTGGGCTGTGGGAGCGTGCCCTGGGATCCAGCCGTGGTCCTGCGGACTTGAGCGAGCAGAGGGAGGCACGTCTGGGAGCCGGGAGCTGGGTGTTGCTGACACACTCGTTCTTCTCCCTTTCCCTGACTTGTCACTGGTCCCGTATTGATTTTTCTAGAGAGGAGCATAAGAAGCATTCATCTGGTTGTGCTTTCCTTTCTGTCAAGAAGCAGTTTGAAGAATTAACCCTCAGTGAATTTTTGAAACTGGACAAAGAGAGAGCCAAGAACAAAATCGTACGTATTATCCGCAGCGAGACCCAAGGGCCAACCCCGCTGAGCACTGAGTGCTGCGCCCTCGCCCCGGAGCGGCTGTTTTCCTCGGAAAGCAGTGTTAAGCCCCTCGGAGCATCTGTCCTGGAATGTGGTCTTGGGGTTGTTCCCTCTTGGAAGATGTGTTTAGTTCGAGGTCATCTGGTGGTGGGCGGTGGTGGTCAGGCAGGCGTCCGGCCTTCAGGGACAGTCTGTGTGGGAGGCCGTTTACACGCTGTGTGTTCGGGCATGGGCATGCTGGGGCAGAGGGTTTGGGGGCACGTAGCCCCACATGTCGGGGAAGGGGCATCATGGGTATGGGGAAGAAGAGGCTCCAGTCCAACAGGACCTTGGCATCAGGCATCCTGGGTTATCGGGGGAGAGGAGGGGTGAGGCCGAGGGTCCACAGCGGGATGGATGCCAGGCAGCCTGGGGGGTAGAGAAAGTCGGCTCCCAGTTAAACCTGAATTTCAGGTATAGTTCGTGTTTTGTATGGATGTATTCTAAAAAAGTTACTTGTTTTTGTGAAGTTTATGAAGTTTCAATTTACCAGGCGTCCCCTATTTTTACTTGCTAAGTCTGACAATATTACAGAGAATAAATGTTGGGTGTTTGCTATCCTTGTAGCAAAGCACTGGGCCAGGAGCGGACATCCTGGTTCTGTCCACGCCACTCACGACTCCATGAGTTCAGGCCGGTCTTGGTTGCATGTGGAAGGCAGATCCCCATGATTTCGGAGACCCTTTTCTGGTTGAAAATTTATGTTCCTTTTTAGAGATGATTATGAAATAGTTCTGTCTGATACAGGATAAATGCTGAATACCAACTTTTTTGTTAGGAAAGTGGAAGAACTTGGCAGTCAGTGTAGCATGTTGTGGAAGAGTGTTTGCACAATGGGGCCTTGAGAACTGTAGGGCTGGAAGCGGGAAGTGGGCCGGGGAGAGCCTTCTAGGTCAGGGGTCAGCACACCCTCCGTGAGGTGCCACAGATAGTCAATATTTTAGCCTTCATGGGCTGCAGGTTTCTGTTAGATATTCTTTTTCTTTCTTTTTTTTAAGATTTTATTTATATGGAGAGCGTGAGCAGAGGGAAGGGGCAGAGGGAGAAGCAGGCTCCCCACTGAGCAGGGAACCCCATGTGGGACTCGATTCCAGGATCCTGGGATCATGACCTGAGCCGAAGGCAGACACTCAAACAACTGAGCCACCCAGGCGCTCTCTAGTAGATATTACTCTGTTGTTCCTGTTTTCACAACTGTTTAAAAATGTGAAAACCATTTGTAGCCCAATGACTGTATGAGAAATAGGCTCTGTCCCATGGGCCACAGTTTGCCAAGCCCATTCTAAGTGAGAGACCAGCCTGTTTACTTAGGGGACAGTGGTGAGAAAGCTGTGCCCCAGCAAACAAGAGGGGCATCGATGTGTAGCCCAGGGAGAGGCTGAAGCCAGACTGTGGGGCACTGAAAAAGACAAAGGTTATTCGGTGTTGCATCAAAGAGGAGAAGGTTGTTGTGACAGCACAGCTCCAAGACAGTGAGTGACCCACTGCTTCTAGGCCTCCTGGTCTGGTGGGCAGAGCCAGGTGCCTATGGGGAGAGGTGACTCACTGGAGCAGGAAGCCCGCCAGGTCACCACCATCTGCGGGAACAACAGTGGGGCCACACCAGACCAGGGTAAACAGGCAAGTGAGAAAAGTGGGGGATGGGAAGAAAATGTTTTGCTTTCATTGTACAACTGTTTCTGTTCTCCCCAAGTCAGAATACAGGAAGCTTAATTTTTTTTTTTAAGATTCTTACTTATTTGAGAGAGCGTGCAGTCGAGCACCAGCAGGGGGAGGGGCAGAGGGAGACGCCGACTCCCTGCTGAGCAGGACCCTGGGATCACGACCTGAGCCCAAGGCAGACACTTAAACTACTGAGCCACCCAGGCGCCCCAGAACACAAGATACTTCAAAAGGATGCGTTTGTTGCTGTTGCTTTGTTTAATCACAAAACAATGTAAGCTTTCAGGAGGAGACTCAAAACCTCCATGCTATGCCCAGGGCGACTACCACTAACTGTTTACTGTGTCTCCTTCAGATAATTTTAAAATTTCTGTATTTTAAAAAAGACTAAAAAGCGTATGCTGCTCATACTTTCCATAATCAGTTTACACAACTTACACAACAGGGAGTTTGTGAGCCTGTGGCCTCTCTGGACTGTTGTGATGTCGCGGAGCTGCGCTCTCCAGCCCTGTGGCCGTCACTGGGTGTGACTCTGATGACAAAGACTCTGTAGAGGGCAGGTTTCCGTGCTCCGGTCACACAGTGTCCTACCTGCCCAGTGGCGGGACGTGGCCAGTTGCTGCCATGCTGCATGGCGCAGATAACAGAATAGTTTTGTCGTTGCGGAGGGCCCTGTGGGACATGCTGTTCTAGACTACCAGCTGACTGTAAGGTCTGCTGCGAGTAATTAGCACTAATGTAAAACTCAGGTCCCCTCGTGTCCCCGTGCACTTGCCCATGTGAACAGATGGTCACGTCTGGGGTCAGAGCCAAGTGCAGGGAACTGGTGTAACCAGAGGTCTGTCTGCTTTGCCCTGGAGCCCCCAGGTGGGCAGTCGAGGGCACGTCACTCCTGAGTGTGGGCTGGCATGCAGACCTCGTCTGTTCTGTGAGGGTGAGTACGGTGGGGCGCTGGCGTGTTCAACCGGCAAGTCAGCTCTGTGGTCGCAGCATGTGGTTTAAGGTAGTCGTTTATTGGACAGTTGAGGTAACTGTCAGGTGTGCAGATCCTGGAGACCAGGCACAGATGATTGCTGTGATGCTGCGGGTGTCTGAGGCCCCAGACTCCCACGGGAGATGCCGCTGCTCGTCCGTGTGACAGGATCGCTGAGGGAGCGGCCCACCTGGGGCCTGGTGCGGGAAGGCGTGCTGCCCCCCTGGACAGCCAGCCTTTTAGGGGTCTAGGCTGGGAGCGTGCTCCCTGCTCTTGACATTCCTGCTGCTGCATCGCCACCTCTACCTTTTGAGGAAAAGGAAGTAAATTAGAACCAGTTAGAAAATAAACCAGTTCAGGGGCGCCTGGGGGGCTCAGTTGTTAAGCATCTGCCTTTGCCTCAGGTCATGATCCCAGGGTCCTGGGGCCAAGCCCCACATCAGGCTCCCTGTTCAGCGGGGAGCCTGCTTCTCCCTCTCCCACACCCCCTGCTTCTGTTCTCTTTCTCGCTGTGTTTCTCTCTGTCGAAAAAATAAAATATTTTTTAAAAAGAAAAGAAACTAGTTCAGGGAATGACCTTAATGGGAGCAAGCAGACCTGCATTTGTGGACGCTAGTGATGAGGGAGAAAGAAGCCCAAGAGGAAGGAGGAGTCGCCAAAGCTCCAGATGGTAAACTTCTGCTCAGTGAACGTTATGTTTCTAATAGTGAGTTTCCGATTTTTTTTGAAGATTTATTTATTTATTTTAAGGAGAGAGTGGGAGGGGCAGAGGAAGAGGGAGAATCCCGAGCAGACTCCTTGCGGAGTGTGGAGCCCGATGTGGGGCTCAGTCTTGCGACCCTGAGATCATGTCCTGAGTGGAAATGGTCAAGATGCTTGATCGACTGAGCCACCCAGGTAGCGCCCCATGAGTTTCTGATTTTTCCTTCAATCCACCTTTATTAAGATAATAGAGGGGCACCTGGGTGGCTCAGTTGGTTGAAGGTCTCGCTCTTGATTTTGACTCAGGTCATGATCTCAGGGTTGTGGGATCAAGCCCCGAGTTGGGCTCTGTGGTCAGCGGGGAGTCTGGGGAATTCTCCTGCCTCTCCCTCTGCCCCTCCCCGTGGTCACACACATGCATGTGCACTTTATCTCGCTTTCTGAAATAAATACATCTTTTAAAAAAGCGTTTAAAATGGAGGTATTGGGACGCCTGGGTGGCTCAGTTGGTTAAGTGGCTGCCTTCGGCTCAGGTCATGATCCCCGAGTCCTGGGATAGAGTCCCACATCGGGCTCCTTGCTCAGCAGGGAGCCCGCTTCTCGCTCTGCCTCTACCTGCCACTCTATCTGCCTGTGCTCACTCTCTCTCTCTCTCTCTCTGACAAATAAATAAAATCTTAAAAAAAAAAAAAATAAATAAAAATAAATAAAATGGAGGTATTGACCTCCGTGTTCTGGTGGTTAAGTTACAACCGTGTACATCAGGGCTTAATTAATTTAAGCTTTATTGAAAGAGAAGAAAAAAATAAATAAATAATATATTTTAAAAGGCCATGGTCAGGGCCCCTGCCTGGCTCAGTTGATGGGCCACGCAACTCTTAATCTCATGGTTGTGAGTTTAAGTGCCATGGTGGGCGCACAGATTACTTAAAAAACAAAAAGACCATGGTCATCTCTCCATATCCATAGAGACGAGACACTCAGGTTGTGGGGTTGTCCATTACAGGGCACACCACTAATTGTCAGATGCTGTTCTCTTTTTCGTGTCAATTTCTTATTTGATTAATGTTTCTTTTAATTAATAATTTTAAGTAGGCCTCATACCTGGCAGCAAAATTAAGGTACACAAAAATACTTAATGAAAAGTAATTTTTTGAAGTTAGCCTCTAATTAGAAAACAAACTCAATAAAGGTCTGTTAGCTTTTTAACGTGTCAGAGAAATCCAGGAGAACACACATGAGGGTCGGGAGAGAGGTTCCTGGATCTGCTGATGGGATCCGGCATTTGTCCTGGACGGAGCACTGAGCGGAATGAACAGGTCAGAAGGCAGCGTCGGCTGCTGGAAGCAGAAGACGCTTCTGTTTCAGGAGAGAAAGCCGAGGCTCCGCAGCGTCTGCGTGGACAAGAGGGGGCTCCGGGCCGGAGCTGGGGGAGCTTCTGAAGCAGTGCGGGCGGTGGTTACGAGCAGGAATGTGCCAGAGCCTAGCTGGGCCACCCGCACACCTGGTGCGGTGTGGTCTTCCTCGTGGTAGAGCGGACGGTGGTGACACCTGCCTCACGGGGACGCCGAGCTTTCGAGAAAGCAGTTCGCGTGTGTGAAGCAGGTGAAATGGTGCTCAGGGCACAAAGGTTGCGGAGTGTTTTCTTGTATGATTATTAGGATGTAGCTGAGCTGGGGGGGTCTTGAGTAGGGGTATCCAGCCCCAAATAGCGTGGGGGGGTCTCCGCCCTAACCCAGCGCCTGATTTGTTAGGGGCTCAGTCAATGTTGCCTTGCTCTTTCCGCGTTGGTCTTATCTACAGGGTGTGATGGGGAAGCTCTCGGCCCGGTTTCATGCGCCTCTTCTTTATTTCCAGGCAAAGGAAACCAACAGTAAGCAGAGAGAATTCGAAGAGACGGCAAAGAGAGTGCGCTGTGCCATCGAGCAGCTGGCCGCCGCGGAGTGACCCCGCCGCCGTCCCGCCGCCGGGCGAGCTGCTCCCCGCGTGGGCCGCGCTCCCTGCCGGGACCTTGCCCAGCGCCTTAGGGAACGGGAACACCCACGATTTGAAATGAGAATATTTAAGCTAGACTTTGCTTTGTTCTTGAAAGCAGTGCCGGGGCTGCTTCTCTTTGGGCAGCTGGTGCCGCTGAGTCCAGGAACCGATTCTCTCATTTTTCTTTGGTAGTTTTTGTGTGGTTGGTTCCTGGGCTCCTGGTGGTGAGAAGGTGAGCAGCGTGTTCTCACCGGCGGAGCCTTCCCGTGCGCCGCGTGGGCTTCAGGCTGACAGCCGGCCGCGCAGCCTGAGATCTGATGCCGGAACGTAATCATAGGTCTGTTGTGGCTGGACAAATAGAGAATTAAGGATGCCATTTTAGATTTTATCTGTCTGATAATCTGAATCTATGGTGCACATTTCCTGTGTCCCCGCTACTCTCCTTTATCTCACCAGGGTATTTCCAGGGCCTGCAGCGGTCCTCGACCCCGTCGGCTCTGGTTCAGTGGCCTCCCTGCCTGCCGGAGCAGATCAGACAAAATGCCATCCCTGCTGGGGCTCTGAGGTGCTGAGTGTGGGCTTTCTTGCCTGTCTCTTCATTTTGGAATTTTCACAGGGGAGCTAGGAATCTAACCCCAGGCTGCCTTGGGCCCCCAGGTATGCCAGAGCCCTTCCGGCCCGGAGCCCACGTGGCCGGGTGGGATGGAGGAGGCCTGATGTCTTGACAGCAAAGCCAGCCTCTGGCTTGGAGGTCAGCCGACGATCCATCCCCTCCAGCGTGTACCACGGGCACATGGTAGGGTTGTCACATCTCTCTAACACAACGAAAAGATCCTTAATGCCAGTGCCTTTTCCAGAGGCCTGGCTCCTTGCTCTGAATGAGCTGTGACGCGGGGTGGGGCAGGCCGACCTGGGACAGGAGACCCGCGGAAGGAATTCCTGGTCTTAACGCTCCCAGAGCTCTGCAGGTGGCTACTTCCCTCTCACCATGTGGGTTAGGTGGCCAGTGAGGCACCTGTGCTTCTCCTGTGAAACCCCTCCAGGAGGGCAGAGAGATCGATTAATCTAAAAAGTGCACTGGAAATGTCTTTTAGAGGAAATTTTTTGTAGATAACTTAGATATATTGTTTATAGTCTTACAAGATCATGGATTTCCGTGACATCACTTAGAGCAGCGGCACTAACCTCGGCGGCTTGGTGCCCCTGAGCTGCGGTTTGCTCGTCTGTAACGCGGGGTCATGAAGCCTGCACCACCGCAGCTGGCCTTCTGTGCGGGTGCGGGATTCGTGCGTGAGGGGGGCGTGACACAGCGTCCCAGCTTCTCGGGCTCCACAAAGTCGCTCTCTTGTTTTGTTGGAATTACTGCTTCGCAGAGCAGCACAAAGTACAATGAGAGCGAGCACGAAGCCATTCTCAGTCCTCGGGGAAATCCGTGGGAGCCTCAGGTGGCTCTGGAGACCAGGCAGCCGGAAGCAGGAGCAGAAGCCGGCCCGCGCGAAACTGCTGCATTAGACGCCCTCGTCTGCCGGCCCCGCTCGCGGCTCCCGCCCCTACAGCAACGCAGAGGCCCGAATCCTTTTGAAATCACTTGACTCCGAGCCGTGGGGACTTGATGGGCTGCTGCGGGTGACCTGTCATCCCTGGGTGGCCGTGTCTCCACGGCTGCTACCCGCCCCCGCCGCCCCCCGTCCGCGTCCCTTCCCGAGGCCGGCTCACTCGTGGCTGAAGCCTGGTGTTACGGGACAGATTGTATCTGTCCCTCCACGAAGTGGAGCTGCAGGGTGGGTTGTGAACGGTCCTCCTGGAGGTCATCTTGTTTCGGAAAAATAAAAACCATTTGGTTTCTAACACAGCTGCAGACCCTACTGGGTTTCTAAAATCCTGTCAGCTCTATGTGGTGGTTCCTGGCCCGCCACCTGCTGCTGCCCGCCCACAGGCTTGCGGGGCCTCCGGGCTGGGATGAGCCCTGGCAGACAAGAAGCCGACCCTGGCCTACAAGGCCCGCCCGTGTGTGTCACCTGCGCCCGTTCCAGCTGGGAACTGGCCATGCAAAATGCGTTTTAGACTCCGCTCTTTCTACCGCATCTGTCAGAGAGGGAGGTGTGTCCTTCCCTCCAAGCTCAGAGGGTATTTACTGCAGTGGTTTCTGTTGGAGGAAAAAAAGCTCTTTAGCCTTTGTACTCATCTGAGCTGCTTCATTCTGATGCCTGTGCCCATCCGTCATGGGTCCTTCGCTGTAATAGCGGCCCTTTACCGGTGGCTCCGAAGAGAAGCTGGCCCTTTGCGCAGCGGGCGGTGATGGGCTTCTCCGCTTCGGCAGGCCGTGCTGTGGAGCAAGACCCAGCGGGAGCTGCCCCTCGGTCCATCTTACATGTTCCCCTCCTGCAGAGGTGTTGTCTAGAGGCCGTGTTTATCCCCGGGCCTTCGTGACTGTCCTCTCGAAGCACGAACTAGACCTCCGTTAATCAAGCCACAAGCCTTTGCCAAGGCCCAAAGCCTCAGGGTTTTCTTCATATATGTGTCCCCTCTTGGGTTCTCCAGGTCTGTGAGAGTTTGGAAGGGTCGTGACGGATGCTTATGGGCTGGCATGTGCAGAGCGTGGTGTCCAGGTTAGAGCCCTACAGGCCAGCCTCGGGATCCGAATCCTCCAGCCGTCCCCAGCACGGACGAGTGCCAGCCTGACCCAAAGTGACCGGCCAAGCGTGGAGCCTTCAGACAGCGCCGGCAGGTTGGTACCCCCTTGGGTACCAGCTTTTTTTAAGTGCAAATCTTTGCAGGTTGCACTTAAAAAAGAAGTCACCATTTGCCAGTAATTTTTTCTGCATTTTTTCATGCAGAAATAGAGCCTCGCAAAGAGGTGGAGAAACTTGTCCAAGATCATACGACGAAGGCCAAGGACGGGACCCAGGCCCGCTGGCCCCGGAGATGGGCCCTCCCTGATGAATGTCGCGCCCCGGCCTTGCGGGTGTGGCCGGGGTCGGCTGCCTGACCGGGGCCGGCTGCCTGACCGGGGCCGGGCCTGGCTCGGAACCATCCCCGTGCCAATTTTTCAGACTGCTTTGTCAGGCCTTCATTCTGCGGGACGGAAATTGGCCCCCCAAGGGTTCCACCCATCTTCCTAACACAGCATTTTTAAAAATTTCGCACTGAGATTCATGGGAACTTGAGAAGACGGTCCGAAGGGGCCCCACATACCCTTCACCCAGCTTGCTCTGCTGCGACGACCGCGTCTGTGCTTGCTTTTGACATCGGAGGTCTGCGCTGAGAAGAGGGTTCCGTGGTGAGGCGCCTGGCTCTGAAACAGTGTTGCCATCACAAAGGGTTTCTTGTCTGGGGCGGGGTTGGGGGGCAGGAGGGGGGGCGATCTCATTCTTAAAGCAACTGCGCGGTTGGTTCCCCCGCCGGTTCCCCCACGGGGCTCGGCCTACAGCGTTCGGGCCAGTTTTCAGCTGACCAGCCACACCCACACCGGGGCCTTAGCTTCTCTGCTCATGTTCCCCTCGGCCCCCAAGGCGGCGACGTCCGTCCGCTCGTTCACGCCGATGCTTGAGCGCTGACGGGAGCCACGAGCCGCGCCAGGAACCGAGTGGCGGCCGGGCAGGACTCAGCCTCCCGTGGCGAGCGCAGGCTCCAGGCCGCGGCCAGCAAACAGCCGTGTGACGGGCGGACTGGGAAGACAACGCCGCCTTGAGTAGAGCATGAAAGGCCCGAGCTGCCTGTCCAGGGACGGAGGAGGCGGCCGACGACCGAAGCAGGGAAAGCTGTGTCCGGCGCGGGGAAGAGAAGCGTGTGCTCCGGGGACTCCAGGGCGTGTCGTGATGTGGGGCCCTCCGTGGCACCCTCCCGTTTGCCTGGTAGCAAAGCTCCGTCGGAGGCCCGTGGGCAGACGCTGGCGAGTCCGATGTGGCCCTGAGGCGCCCTTCATAGATCCTATTGCTTCCTGGGATGAGACTGACCCCGCGTGTGGCCGCCTCCCCGCCTGGCCGCCAGCCGCATCAGTGTGGAAGACCTCCGTGTCCGATCTACGACCTCCGCCCCTTGAGAGCCCTGTAGCATGGTTGGTTTTGGCCAGAACAGCGTCTCGAGGAGCCTCCCGGGGAGGACTGGCTCCACAGGGCACCCCGATTGCATGGCACCGGCCTGTGGGTAAATGAGCGAGGTCCGGCTTCTGTTGGAGGAGTTTGCTGAGGGCGGCGGGCTGAGTCGTGCCTGAGCCGCGATGCTGAGCGGCTCCGTGATTTCTCCGGCAGTTTTGGCTGCTTCCTCAGCCTGGGGCTGGAGGCAATGCCCTGTGGCATCAGCCTGGAACGGGAGGCTCATCGGGGGCACAGCTGTCGCTGGGGTCAGGGTCCTTACCGCCCCTGAAGAGCAAGTTGAATGCAAGTTTAAAAAAAAAAAAAAAGGCTCGGGTGCAGCCCGGTTTCTTTTGTCACTTAAAATCGGAATTTCTTCCATCCAAAGGTCCCTTCTGTCCCTGATTTTGGTGGTGGTGGCGTGACACGATCTCCGAAGAGGCCCTAGCGTCCTGGAGACGGGCTTGGTGCTTACCAAGTGGCCAACCGACAGCTCCAACTATGGGTTATGAGCCGGTCGTAGGAGGACGACCAATGAAAAAGGGGGTCATTCCAAAGGGGCACTTTTTCAGAACCAGGCTAGGGTATAATCTGGGTGGACATAGACTGGTGGAATTCATCTTAGGGACATCTTAGGGACATAGACTGGTGGAATTCATCCAAGTAGCCCCTTGAGGACCACTGCTTGCTGCCTAGGGGACAAGGTGGTCAGTGGCTCCCGCTGCTCACTGGGTTTCGAGCACAGAACTTTAAAGCAGGGAGATAGGGTATAGACTGCTAACACGGCCATCTATACCGCATCGTGAGCGCGAGACGTGTCTATTCTTGTGTGCAGCTGTGTGGCTCGGTGCTGACAGTGGCCTCAAGCAGTGTGGTCCCCAGCCCTGCCAGCAGAACCCTCTTTTTTTTTTTTTTAAAGATTTTATTTATTTATTTGACAGAGATCACAAGTAGGCAGAGAGGCAGGCAGAGAGAGAGGAGGAAGCAGGCTCCCTGCTGAGCAGAGAGCCCGATGAGGGGCTCGATTCCAGGACCCTGGGATCATGACCTGAGCCAAAGGCAGAGGCCCAACCCACTGAGCCACCCAGGCGCCCCCCAGCAGAACCCTCTTTATGGGGTGCCAAGGAGACCCTTCCAGAAAGCTCGGGCTGACAGGCAGGGGTTGCTGGTTAAAAGGATATGGAGCTGCCGCCCAAGAGGGGCTCCTCCCATCCTCCCAGTCCCTCGATCATACCTTCAACACAGAAAACAAGGCTGTGACTCACTGAAGGCAGTGTGGATCCTTGTCACATTGTGGCTGAATGCTGGGGTCACTATTCACCTTGCCCCTGTCTTCCAGCAGGGGCCCTGTCCTGCCTCCTCGCTCCCCTCCCTCCCTCACCCCTCTCCCCTCCTGCTTTTGTAGAAGGCTGCCTGGAAGCAAGACTTCTCTTTCCATAGCCCCCTTGCCAGCCTGCCTAGGTCCTTTGCCCATCCACCCCGCCTCACTGGATCCCTTTGGTTAGTCCTGGAGACTGATTTAGACCAGGAGCAGACAGGGGTCAAGTGCCCCAGCCAGGGGTGGCTGCCTCCCACCATTCAGGCTGCCAGCTTCCTGGCCAGCGAGGTCAGCTGCCTGCTGAGCCCCCTCCTGAGACGACACGGGCCCCACCCTTCCTCCTCCTCAGCCCGGCCATCTGGCAGCTGAAAAACTGAAGGTTTGGAGAGAGTAAGACATCTGACAAGGGACCCACTCCAGCGACCAGCTCCTCGGGGACGCTGGGATTTGAACCCAGATCTGGGGCAGGTCTGCCTGCAGCTCTGAGACTTCCATCCCTGCACCCGAGATCTGCAACCCCGTCGCTGAGAGGTGGGACCGATCTTCCTGCGAACCTGGGGGGTGTGTTGTGAGGCTGGCGCGCAGGCAGCAAAGGGGGTGCCGCGTCCAGAAAAGCCTTGGAGTGGCAGCGCCAGCTTGCCCGCCCCGGCTCCCCGCATCCCCCCAACCGTGCCCCCTACTCACTGGCGCCTCCTCCCTGGTCCAGTTCACCAAATCCCAGCCCCCCTTCCCCGGCCGGCCTCCCCTTCTCCCCGCTCTCCCACTCTCACTCCCGAGGTCCTCTCTGCTCCCCAAATCCCCAACCCTTCTCCGGGAGCGCATGGCCCGGCTGGGCGCGCTGCTCCTGGCCACCGCCCTGGGCGCGCTGCTCAGCTTCGCGCTGCTGGCGGCCGCCCTGGCCAGCGACTATTGGTACGTCCTGGAGGTGGCGGACGCCGGCAACAGCACCGGGCGCGCCGCGCGGCTGTCCTCGCACTCGGGGCTCTGGCGCGTCTGCGAAGGTACGGCGGCCGGCCGGGGCGCAGAGGGCGCGGGCAGGGCAGCTCCCCTCCTGCCCCCACTCCCCATCCCGGACTCTGTCCTCTCCCAAAACTGGGCGGTGACTGTAGGGCTCAGAAATGAAAGGGTCGGGCGCCGGGCGGTTGCGGGGAGAAGGACATTTTGGGGCCCCCAGAACCTGGGGAGCAGGAGCCCTGGGCATTTCTTTGCCCTCCCTGGTGGGGGCGGGGGTGTCTTGTGTTAGGAGCTGCCGGCACATTGCTCCGTAGATGAGAAGCAGCCCCAGGCTCTCAGTGGGCTCTGCCATTGGCTGCTGCCTGACGTGGCACCTCGTCCTTCCTCCGCCTCCAAGGCTTTGTCCGATGGGGAGAAGATGCTACTTCTCGGGATGCAAATCGGTGGGGGGTGGTTGGGTGAGTGAGGGAGGAAAGCAGGGGCAGGACCCCGCACCCAGGGCACTGGGCTGCTGTTCTTCCTCAAGCAGGGGTGCGGGCGCTGAGGTGGGAGAGGTGCGGGGCACTGGGGACCTCCGGGAAGGGCACGGTTCCACATCCAAGTGACCACGAGCTGTTTCTCAATTGCTGTCCCCAGAGGCTCAGCCTAGCACACCCAGGGCTCCCGGAGTAAGACCCCTGTTCCTCTCTATCCCCCAACCCCCTCTCCACCACCTGACGGCTTGATGAGCCCTTGGGCACCAAACAGGAGTGCCTTGTACCTTTCACACCTGCGGAGAGAGGAGGACTTTCCCTCTGCAAGGCCTATGTGACGGGGTGACCAGCAGGCTGGGGGGTCCTCCCCTGCACAGGACCAGCCCTGGGGGGCAGCAGTGTCTGTGAGAGTGTGTGATGTGTGTGTGTGCATACACGGGAGCATAGGTCTGTGTGAGTGCAAGCGTGTGTGCATGTGAGAGTGTGCGTGTATGCACGTGAGTGTACGTGTGGGTGACTATGCGTGTGTGTGTGCGTGCACACGCATGACGATACCTTTCTTGGTGGCAGCTGGGGAGGAAAGACAAGCTATTTGTTCATCCGCAGAACAGACTGTGCTGATTGCTCCAAAGCCCCCCTGATGTGTGCACGTGTGTGCAAATGTGGGTGGGTGTGCACGCGTGTGTGCAAGAGTCAGAGTCCATGTTACACACACCTTTTCCTGTCCAGGCAAAGCCACACGTGAGCCTGCTCAGGGCCCCAAGCCTAAGGGAGAGCTGAGGGCAGCGTCTCCGGGATGTTTGAATTTCAGACCGACATCTATGTAGGTGTATTTGTACGTTACAGAAACAAAACAGAAGGTCTTAAGTCCTCCAGATCCACTTGGAGTCACAAACTCTGGGGTCCAGGAGAGAATCTGATGGGGCTCCGTGGCCACTGGCCAGCCCGCTGGGTTCGGGCAGGGCTGAGAGTGTGCTGTCCAGTGTGCCCGCAAGACCACCCATCTCAGAGGGACCCAGGGTGGGTGGTGACCCCACAGGGGTCCAGCCCCCCAGGCTTGTGTCCTTTCTGCTTTTTAGGGCAAAACAGCTGCATCCCCCTGATCGATCCCTTTACCAGTGAGAACCTGGATGTCCCCACCTCAGTGCAGCACCTCATCTGTGAGTCCTGGGCCCGAGTCACCACTCCCCACCCCTGGTCTGTCCTTCATCTCCAGGCAAAACTGTCCTGCAAAGGTGACCTCCAGGCAGACAGGGCTCTGCAGAGCTCACTTGGATCTGCCGGCGGGGGTATGGGGGCAGTGGGGGCCGGTCCAGGTCCCAGCCGGGATGCTGAGCCCCCTCTCCCGGCAGCCCTGCACCGAGCTGTCATGGTGACCCTGCCCCTGAGCCTCGTCCTTGTCGTGTGTGGCTGGATCTGCGGCCTCTTGGGCTCCCTGGCGCGGAGCGTGGTCCTCCTCTTCTTCACCGGCTGCTACTTCTTGTTAGGAGGTGAGTGTGGGCGCCCTGTGGGCCACATGCCCTGGAAGTGGGAGTGCCTCCTTCCTGCCACCCTGTCTCCTGCTCCCATCTGGCCTGTGCTGAGCCTGGGCCCAGCCTGGGGACCGAGCTGCAGCAGGCAAAAGCATGTTGGGTGTTACGGGGCCTTTCTAGGGACACAGGCAGGGGTTCTGGCTGTGGGCCTCAAGCCAGGGAAGGAGGAAGCCCGGGGCTGAGCTCCCCAAGGCGATCCCTGGACCTGGTCTCCTAGACCTGCACGGGGGAGCACCTGTTCTCCCCTCCTTCCCAGACTGGCCTGGTGGGAACAGCTGGAGTGGGCAGACCCCGGCAGTGACACAGGTGAAGAAGGGTCTCGCGGTCCTTGGCAGTGAGCCCGGTCCAGTCCCAGAATGTGACTGTTAACAGTTCCTCAGCCGACATTCCCCTAGACTCTGCTGGGCGCTGGCCCGGCGCACCCTCGGGGCCTCAGCCGTGGCTTCCCTGTGGTCCCAGTTTCCAGCTGAGAGGTCCAAGGTTTCACCAAGGTCACCAGTGCTTTTTGGTGCCATCTGCCCCTGCCAGCCAGCCGGTGCCCCCCTGCTGCCCAAGCCTGGCTGTCGCTGATGCTGCCCTGGGGCTCCTTGGGGTCAGCCGTCAGAGGACCGTGCTACTGGGGTGAGGCCTGAGCCGGGTCTGGCATCCGGGCCATCTCTATGGTCAAGGCCATGGCATTTGAAGCCCAGACCACAGGGGCCTAGGGCTTCCTCTGGGGCAGGGCTTCCCCCTCCCCAGGGGATGCTGGCCCTGTGGGAGACCTCGGTCAAGTGGGAGCAGGGGGGCTTGCCTGGTGCCAAGAGCCTGGGGGACCAACAGCCTGGGTGTGTGCTTCAGAGAATGACAGCAGCAGTCAGCTGCGGCCGGCCCCCAGAGACCGGCTGTGTGGGTCCAAATCCAGTGAGGAGGACCTCGGCAAGCCACCGAGAGGAGTAATGGGGAGGGATCGTATCCAGGAAGCCTTGGCATGATGCTCTCAGAACCATGGCCCAGATGAGTGGGTGGACGGAGGGCCCGGGGGCAGCTGCTGCGGGGAGCTCCTCTTCCGAGGACCCGGTTGGAAGAACACACCTGCTCCGCTCGCTCATGGTCCAGGCTGGCTGTTGTCTCGCGGGGGATGCTCCTTGGAACCGGGTCCGCTGACATCACTGTCAGTGCTCTGAGCAGTCCCAGAGAGTCCAAGGGAGGAGAGTGTCAGCATCGGCGGTGGGGGGAGACCGGGCTGATGGGAGCAGGCGGGGGTGATCGCAGACGGGGGAGGGGGCGGGCGGGGCCTGCAGATGCGGGAGGCTCAGGCCGGGGGGGGGGGGGGGGGAGTAACCCAATGAAGTGGGGGGAACGGTAAGGAGAGGGGAGCTGGTCAGAGCTCCAGACCCCCCGACTACCAGTAGAGGTCACTGGCTCCGTGTGTGTGCATGTGTGTGTGTGTGTGTGTGTGTGTGTGTCAGGGACACTGGGGGACACGGGAGGGTGCTGTATATGCAGAGGCAGTAGAGTGGGGACTGTTGCCGAGGGTATACGTGGTGCCTTTCATGGGGGGCGTTTGTGGGGTGAGGCCCGTGGCTTTGGGGACTGCATCAGAGCCTCCGTTCCCCCCAAAGGCCAGCAGGGAGGGGCTCTTGGTCTCCAGGACCGCCTTAGCCAGGTCCTGGTGAGGCAGTTGCGCTCAGTGGGTAGACACAGCGAGTGGTCCCCCTGCCCCCACCCCAGGTGCCCTGACCCTGGTAGGGGTCAGCGTCTACATCAGCTACTCCCACCTGGCCTTCGCCGAGACCGCCCGCCAGTACGGCCCCCGGCACGTGCAGGACGTCCGCGTCAGCTTTGGCTGGTCTCTAGCCCTGGCCTGGGGCTCCTGCGCCTCCGAGGCAATCAGCGGCTTCCTCCTGCTCGCGGCAGCCCGAGCTCTCAGCCTCAGCCGGCAGCCGGGGGACCTCCACTCTGTGGTCATCTGAGTCCCAGAGGGGCAAGTGGCAGGGGCGAGGGACACAGTTTCCCTTTGCATCTGCAGGCCTGGCTGGAGTTCTTGTTGGGAGGGGAACCTGTGGGGTGGGGGGCTGGGAGCAGAGCCAAGGAGCCAGGTTCCTGTTGCCTGGCAAAGCCGGATGTTTCGGGGGTCCCCTGCCCAGTTTATGCCCTTTAGGGACTAACTGGTGTGACTCCCTCTTGGGAATGAGAAAAGGGAGTCCCAGAAAGAGTCAGCAAGTGACCCAAAGGAACGTTAACGAGGTCGGGGTGGGGGTGCTGCAGGTTCCCAGGGCTCAGCAGGTCCCCTTGCCTCTTGAGGACATGGCCTGCCCTCGCCCACCCCCATCAGCCCTGGTGAGCCATGCTGTCCTCATCCCTAGGGCCCTGGGTCAGGTGCAGGAGCTGCCGCTGTGCTGGGGAGGAGGGAGTTTGAGTCTGTCAAACACCCACTGAGTTAGGCGCCGAGCCCAGTGTCACCTGCTCATCTGCTTGTCCCGTCCTCCAATCGCCCTTCACGTTAGCTACCATTCACCCATTTTACAGAAGGGGGCTCTGAGGCCCAGACCATCCCGGAGCACGTGGCAGGGCCAGGTGCCCCGCCAGGCTGGCGGGCCTCCCAGGCCTCTGTTCAGTCCCCTGGCTCTAGGGCAGGTGTCGGCGGGGAGGATCCTGAGGAGGGGGGCCCGGGAGTCCCCTGGGATTTGCAAGGGCGGCTGAGTGGGCTGGACACACCCTGCCCCCTCCCTGTTCTCAGGCCTCTGTCCTTGTCCTGGGGCGGCTGCTGCTTTTGCTGGACCCCATCCTCTCATCTGCAGCCCCCTGGGGAATGTCTGTGACTGCGGGGGGACCTGGGGGCGGGGGGCCCTGAATAAGCAGGTGTGAAAGTCCTAGTAGGGGTGGGGGTTCTTAGCCAGGAGGGGCGGGGGCTGCCCCGAGAGGCAGAGGCCAGGGCTACAGAACAGAGGTGGGTGGGGGTCAGCTCGCAGACCCGGGTGCAGGCCCACTGTGACTGGGCTCCTGGGTCATCGTGAGGCTTGCTCCTTCTCCTATAGGCAGAGAAGTCGAGGTGGCAGAGGAGAAGGCCAGGGGGGCTGTGGAGCACCCAAAGCCCCACACAGCCCCTTCTGGGGTTCAGGAGTCTGGGATGTGTGCGGGGGGCTGGAGGGCAGCCCCTCTGGCCTCGGTCCCCCTCCCCCAGCCTCCTTTATTGCTCCAAAGGTTACAGGAAGCTCCTTGGGACCCTGGGGGCTGGTACCACTTGGGGGTCCCCTTGAGGGCTTCCCTTCCTACCTACATTTCAGCGTTTACCATTCCGTGTCGCAACATTGTGCCATTTTGTCCTTAAATAAATCAGTTTATGCTCTGTGCAGATAAGCCTTGTTTTTCTGTCTTAATGTTTTTTCAGAATTGATCAAACAGAGCTATAAACACTGCGCGGGCAGTAACACTCTTACCAGCTGTGTGTGTGTGTGTGTGTGTGTGTGTGTGTGTGCGCGCGCATCTGTGTGTCTGTCCAGCCAGAGACGTCTTCTGCAGACACAACAGGTGCCTTCTCTGAGGGTCGGCACAGGTGGAAGAGGACCCCGTGCCCCGACCCCACACTCCGTGTTGGATGGGACGGCTTGGCGGGCAGGTCCTCTCCACCTGTGAGGCTCTAACCGCACTTGTGCGGTTCGCGGGGGAGCAGGGAGCACAAGGGTTTGGTGGGGGGCCTCCTTGTCTGCCTCTGGACCCACATGACCCCAGGAACTGCTAAAAACGAGATCCAATCCCAGATCATCTACAATAAAGACATACTCTTTTGTAAGCAAAAAAAAAATTTTTTTAAAAAGGAACAAGTCTATAGGTGACCACAGGATAAACCCTAGCCCCCAACGCGGGGCAGCTAGGGCTCCCAGGCATCCAGCCCCGCTGTCCCTTTCTAATCTCCTGTGACCCTTCGCCGTGTGTCCCCAAGCAGGAGCGCGTGACATGCTCACCAGCTGCGCGCCCCCAAGCAAATGGCTCGGGACAGTTTCCTCTTCTGTGAGCAGAGCCCCTGCCCTGGCTGCTTCCTGGGCTCCGGCAAGGGGCTCGGCTGGGCCCCACCGGTCCGCCCCCGTGGTGCCCTGTCCCAGATGCAGGAGGCTTGCCGAAGGAGCACGGGTGGAAGGCTTCCCCCTGAGTGTGGGGAGTCCAGGGGTCCGAGCAGACGGGTCACAGGGTCACTGGGTGTCGTTTCACTACCTCTCCTGCCACCTGCTCTCTCGGGACACCTGCACTTCCCACCTGGGTCCCAGCCGGGGCACAGGGTCCAGTCACCCCGCCCTCAGCGCCCCAGCTGCCTCAGCACAAACCCCCACTTCTTCAGCGCCCGCTCGGTGTCCTGTGCGGAGACGTCGCGGTGCCACACGGCGCGCACCGACCGCTCGGTCCAGGGGAACAGCAGCACGCGCACCGCACGGCCGGTCTGAGCCACCTCGTCCGCGCTCACGGCCTGCAGACGCCGGCAGAGCTCCTCGGGTGGCAGCCCGTCCACCTTCACCATCACCATGTTTGTCTCCACGGCGGCGAGGTCCACGGAGCAGATGGGGGATGCCAGCTCCTGGAGCCCTGGGCCCGGGGCCTCTGGTGAGTGGAGCCTGACCCAGGACCTCAGCCCCGAGGTCTGGTCCTGTCATCCCAGCAAGGGCAGAGGGCAGCCCAGCCGCCGCAGGGAAAAGAGGGACCCTTGGAGCCACACAGACTTGGCTCTGCTACTTTCCAGCTGTGTGACCTGGGGCAAATCAGTTAACTTCTGGGCCTCAGTATCCTCATCTGTAAAGTGGGGACATCATGGGATTGTTTCAAGGACTCAAGTGATAAAGATTAAGATCTGGGTTGGAGGCTTCCCTCACCAGATCCTGCAGGAAATAGGAATTCCTGACTTCCGTTGAGTGCTGCTTGGTCCAGACCCTCCACCGGGGTCTGGTAAAGCATCCTCCTGTCCCGGGCCCAAGCCTCATGGCTCAGTGGCTGCCCTACACGTTCTAGAGTCAGAAGGAAGTACACCCGCTGGGGATTTGGGCCCTGCTGCAGGGGACCCCCAGACATTCTTCTGGGAGCAAAAGGAAGTGAGAGTGGGGGTAGGGGCTGTGGTCCACGTACCTTTGGCGAATCTCTGGGCATTCTGGTGGTCCCTCTGCAGCACCTCCTCGAAGTCCGCCAGTCCCACTAGGGCGGCAGCAGCCAGCACCCCGGCCTGGCGCATCCCCCCGCCCAGCGCTTTCCGGAGGCGCCAGGCTTCTTCAATGAAGTGCTTGGGCCCCCCAACCAAGGCCCCGACCGGCGCACCGAGGCCCTGGGAGGAAGAAAGGAGAGAGTCCTGCCTGCCAGCCCCCCAGGTGTGCATCTCTGTCCTTGTGCCCGGGGGAGGGGCATGGGGAGGGGACGGGGCCCCATCTGGGGAGGGGCTAAGGAGGCCCAGGGCCAGCCTCGGCCAGCTTCGGAGCTCGGAACCCAGCTGACCCCTACTGCGGACACCCACCGCTGTCCTGTGTTTGGGAGGCAGCCCAAGGCTTCCCCACCTTGGAGAAACAGAGAGACACGGAGTCACAGTGCTCCACGATGCGGGCGGGGGGCACGTGCAGAGCCACCGCGGCGTTCATCAGCCGGGCCCCATCCAGGTGGACGCGGACCCCGTGGCTCCGGGCCAGGAGCTGCACCTGGGGGCAAAGGGCAGGCAACGGTCAGAGGGGCTGAGCTTGGGGCCCGAGCGGAGGGAGGACCGGTCTCCAGGAGCCTGGAGGGGTCCAGAGGGATCAGGGCTGGGCTGGTGTCCAGAGTGGCCCACTCAGACCGGAGCAGGCGCTCAGTTGCCTGAGCCTGGGCGCCGTCCTCTGTGAAAGGGAGTTGATAATAAGTGGTGGGCTCGCTGTGGCCAAATGCAGACGCGGCACGAGCCATACATGCCGCACCCTGTTTGAGCCATCCCGTGCCTCTGCGGAGGAGATGCCCACTCCCGTGGACAGGGAGAGGGTCTGGAGGGTCATTAGCGGCAAGTTCTCACACCGGGGAGCCGATCGGTTCAGCCCTCATACCATGCGAGCAGGTGCTCCTGGGACTCGCTCCCTGGGGAGAAGGGGGGTGTCTGTCCTGGGGCTAACCTGGGGGCTTAGTGCCCTCAGTAGCTGCGGGCGAGGGGCACATGCCTCCCTCCCACAGCAGTCCCAGCTGCCCTGGGCACCCATGGCCTGTATGAGAAGACACCCTCCCAGGAGGGGGCTCCGTGCACAGGTGGGGGGTGCTGGCTGGCTGGGGGCGGGTGGGGGGCGGGCAGAGTGGTGGGGTCGGGCCCACCTGGTGCAGGTAGTCAATGGGGAGGACGCGGCCCCCGGAGCTGCTGTGGGTGTTCTCCAGGCAAATGAGCTCACAGACCGGGTGGTAGGGGCTCCCCAGGCCCCTTGTGACCATCCTCTCCAGCTCAGCCAGGTCCAGAGTGCCATGGGGCAGGTCTGGGAGGGGGTGGGAGTGCACCCCTGCGATCTGCAGGTATTGGAGAAAGAGGGAGGGAAGATCAGGTCCAGGGGCGCAGCGTCGCCTCCCACCTCTGTCCCCGCGGCTCCTCCCCAGCTCGGGGCCATCGAGCCTGCCCCTCTGCTGCGGACGTGGGCTCGGACATCCCAGCAAGAAGGGGAGGAACCAAGGGCTGTGTTCTCCCGAGCCCGAGCGCCCCGTGCTCTGGGTGCCCACGAGGGGGCAGCAGAGCGCCAAGAACGGCCCGTATCCGATCGGGCGGGGGCGGGGCCTGGGCCGCGGCTGCCCCCACGTGGTCAGTCTGGGAATGGCTCCCTTTCCCGCCACCCTGGCCATCTCTTCCCTCTGCAGGTCCCAACATGGTGCCTAGGAAACAGGTTCCCGCCAGAAATGCTGAGCTGGCCCCAGGTGAGGGGCGCCGGGTCCTTACCTGAGCCACCCCGCCCTGCTCGAAGACGTGGAGGTGGCACTCCTGCCCGAGGAGGAGCTGGGAACCCCTGCGCTGGCAGTGACACATCACTGATAGATGGGGGAGGGCAGTGTTGGCTGGGAGTCCCGTGGGGCCCACCTGCTCCAGCCCAGCTCCTGGCTGAGCCCGGAGGCTAGCTCCCAAGTGCCTATGCCAATTAGGAGACGGCACCCCTTCAAGACCTCTTACTGCCATGGGCCAGAGAACCATCCCAGGAACTACGAAAGTCCAGGATAACCGTCCAGTGAGGTGTTGTGCCCTGTGCCCTGCAGCCCACCCACAGAGCATGTCCTGCCCAGGAAGCTGGTCACCATGCTGCTCCTGGGGGTCAAGCAGCTCAGGCAGCTCGGGGGGTATCAGTCG